AGCGAAGGCCCTCGAATGGGCGACGCTGCCTTTGCGGCCTACCTGACGTCGACCTACAACCTGCCCGCCATCAAGGAGCCCAAGACCTATTCCCTCGACCGTCCGTTGAATGAGTACTTCATCTCCAGCTCTCACAACACCTACCTGATGGGTCGGCAGGTCGCCGGTCTCTCGAGCGTCGAGGGCTACATCTCTGCGCTCGTCCGCGGCTGCCGTTGTGTGGAGGTCGACTGCTGGGATGGACCGGATGGCAACCCCACGGTAAACCATGGCCGCACGCTCACCACTTCGATCAGCTTCCAGGAGACCATGACCACGATCAACAAGTACGCCTTTATTGCGACCAAGTACCCTCTCTGGATCTCCCTCGAGGTTCACTGCAACCCGGCGCAACAGGCTGAGATGGCTCGCATCATCAAGGAGACCTTTGGCGCTCGTCTCGTCACCGCACCCCTGGATCCATCCTCGGACAAGTTCCCGTCGCCCGAGCAGCTCAAGGAGCGAGTGCTCATCAAGGTCAAGCGCCCGCAGCCACCCCCGGAGCCCACCAAGCCGGCCGAGTCGACCGGTCGCCGACGCGGCAACAGCCTGAGTTCGCCGTACCCGAAGCCGGTTCAGCTGGATAACAGCATCGTCCCCTCGCAGTCGCTACCTCAGAGCCCCATCCTGAGTCCGAGCCACTCGTCCCGCCGCCTCGTCAGCAAGAGCCGTGTCAACACCATCACCGAGGGCGAGGTCCAGGACGCCCTGAGCAGCAGCACGAGCGACAACGACAGTGCCGGCGAGCGCATGCCCCCTAGACGGTCATCGAACAAGACGGTCAAGGTGCTGGGAGATTTGGGTGTGTACTGCGCCGGCCTCAAGTTTGGTGGGTTCGACGCCACTGAGGCCAAGGCGTACAACCACATCTTTTCCTTCATGGAGTCGAGCTTCCACAAGAACAGCAGGTCCAAGGAGGAGAAGAGAGCCATCCAGCTCCACAACATGCGGTACCTCATGCGCGTCTACCCCGACCGCACGCGAATCACGTCCAACAACTTCAACCCGATCGGCTACTGGCGCAAGGGCGTGCAGATGGCCGCACTCAACTGGCAGACGTTCGATCTCGGCATGCAACTTAACCAGGCCATGTACGAGAGCGGCACCGACCGATCCGGCTACGTCTTGAAGCCAAAGGAGCTGCGCGAGATCAAGGTGATGCCCCCCGGATGGGAAGGCCATCACCGGGAGCGCCAGGAGGTCACCTTCTCCATTGATGTCATCTCGGCGCAGCAGCTTATGCGCCCCAACGGCATGCCCAACAACAAGACGGTCGACCCGTACGTCGAGGTGGAAGTGTTCCACTCCAGCGACAAGAGGGACAAGAAGGACACTGACGCCGAGGGCTCGCTTTCGGATACGCCCCTCATGTTCCGCACCAAGATCAAGGCGGGCAACGGCTTCAACCCCATCTTCAATGAGAAGTTCACCTTCAAGGTTACGACCAAGTTCCCCGAACTCATCTTTGTTCGCTGGTCGGTCAAACTCTCACACAACGGCGAGAGCTACAACGACCGTCAGCCCGTGGCGACGCACACTGCCAAGCTCAACGGCCTCAAGCGCGGCTACCGCACTCTCCCCCTGTTCGACCACAATGGCGAACAGTACCTCTTCTCGACCCTCTTCTGCCGCGTCAACATCGACTCCGTTCAGACCGTCTTGCTCAGCAACAACGACGACGTGGAATCTACGGGCACCAGCAAGTCCCGTGGCGTCGGACGCGTCTTTAACACGTTTGGCACTCGATCCAACAACATTAGCCCCAAATCCAGCATGGAAAAGGCGACCTAGACGGCTCCATCATCACATGGCCGTCCTCTCTGTACCATGCTGAGGCCTCACCACCTTCGCTTCTTGGCATAAATTTGTTTCCTTTTTTATTCCCCAAGTTCAAGTTTTGTATCAGTATCGACAGAGAATTAACGACATATGCCCAGGGGGGCTCGAGTACCCCCTGCGGCGAAACGACACGGCCGAACCAAAAGACAGAATTCCCAGCGCGCCCCATTTTTTGGATCTAATGTGCTATCAATACCCCCCCTTTGGCATTCGACTGCGGCGTACTATTGGCATGAAGGAGAACTTCCTGGTGTAGTCTACGACTATTTTTCTTTCGCTTCACCCGCTCTCCTTGAAGGATGCGAGGCTTTTTTCTAGGGATACCAACGGGACACCTTTTTTTTTTTTTTTCAATTATTTCATTTGTTCATGGGATTATTCATTGGGACGGCGAATAAGGGCATAACCGTCACCACCCCCGAGAGGCCTGATGCCCGGGGGTCGCGTCGACTTTTTGAAACGGGAAAGGACACACAGCATATACCACATGTCAGGAAGGGACAGGAATATTATAGAACTGGGATCAATCCGACATGATGAAAGCAAGAGTCGAGAAAAGACCATAGGAAAAAAAGTTTCTTTTTTGTTTCTCACGATTTTGAAAGAGGACCCACAGTACACGACGGCGGATGATTGTTATCTCACCTTTTCTAGCATTGAATCACTCGGGGCCAGTTTGTGAGAGGTGTTTGTTGATTAACGGGGAGGAATTTGCTGATTATCTCGGGGTACGAGGACAAGCGGAGGACCAGGACGGTCCCGCAAAGCCCGGCCGGGTTAGCATGGATTGGAGGGGAATCTTGTTTAAGCATTGACATGAAGCATAATCATCTGGAATGGATGGACCGGGCGGGGGCATATGTTATTTGCATGGGCGGATGAACGAACGGAAGGGGGCTGGAATGGGGGAAAGGCAGACTGGTATCTCTTTGGGTTCCCACCGCTGAAATGGATGGGAAGAGACAGAGCTCGTGGAGAGGCGCGTACCAATGTCAATCGGATTGCCCTAATGATCATACTGCTGTCCCATGTAGCTGTCTGTGTGTGTGTGTCTATCTAGACTCTGGCTTGGTGACGTGAACCAAGAACCTTGTGCCAAGACCGTTTGCTGTGTCTGATGTTGGGGAATGTCATAAGGGTCGATGTGGGATCTATTCTGCCTTTTCTGCCTTTTCCGCCCTTTTCCGTGTCTTTTCTTTACAGGACACAGAGTTATGCCCGTAACGAGCTTGGCTATATAACCTTGTTCGAAAAGGTTTGGCAGATGTTTGGGGGAGGTCTAAACTGAATAGGGGCAGCGAAGGGGTTGAGGAGACGTCGCAGAGTTGCCCGTGACAGGAGTGAGAGGGCTCTCTACTGTTTTGCGAATACGTATACGCGGGGGGGGGTTCGAAATTGACAAAATGTCTCCAGAGAGGGGGCCACACCAGAAGACGAAAAGCATCGATATCAGGTTAAGGTAAGTAAGTACGTTGCAGCTGAAGGTTGAACTGGGTTAGTTTGGCCGGGGACTTTGGAGGAAGAGTGAAGTGGGGGCAGCTGAACATCGAGACATGGCATGACTTGATGTTTTTTTTTTCTGCGTGCGTATTGGTGAACATTAGACTTTTTGGAGTCTTTCACTAATTTTTGCTCTACTTGTCTCTCTATCTGTACTGTACTGTACTTGAGTTTCCTCGACTTTGCACAAGAGGAGAATATTGGGGGGGGGGGGGGATGGCATGCGAACGGGGGCCCGGATGGAGTGGTGGGGATTTCTGCGGCCGGGCCGGATGGCAGGCAGAGCGTGCGTGTGTGTGTACACTACCTTACACCGCGGTAGGTATGTGTCCCGTGCTCAAGCTCTCTCCAGACTCTTTGTTCCTCCCGATGGGTTTAAGTTGAGTGTATGGGTGGGTGGTTCGATGATTTGTTGCGGCTTTTCCTTCCCATCCCCCCCCCCTCCCCGGGGTGGGTTGGGTGTGGGTATCACGGTGTGTAACCATGCAATTGCATACCTACTGCGTAATGTGTGTGTGGTCTGGCTGATCCGGGGTGCAGGAAGAGGAGGGGGGAATGGGCAGGGCAGGGCAGGGAGGGGAGAGAGAAATGTGGTGGGAAATTTTGTCCTTGGGTTTTGGGATGGTGTAACATGTGCAATCTCCGTGCTGGAGATTTTCTCATGTTGCTCCTTTTTTTGTTCTTGTTTGCTATTTGGTATATTTGGGTAGGGGCGTGTGGTAGATGTCGCACGCCAAAATTCCTACAAACTAGAGACTTGTCTCATATACAGAGATGTAGTGTGTTTTTCTCCATTTTGATTTTCAAGGGGGATTCACTGGCTAGGGACATGGGTTGACCAAGGATCCGGGAGGATGGAAGGACGCAGGGATTCAGAGACAGAGAGCTCTCCGGGCCGTGGTGTGGACCTTGGAAAGAGGGAAATCACAGCAACCCGACCGACAAGAGAAGAGCGAGAGTAGCGGCATTGTCGGCAGAGAATAGACGACTTGGCCAAAGAGGTGGTGGGCTCTGCACTCTACCTAGAGGAAAGGATGAGGGGGCATTGGCCAATGATGGGATGCCAATCGTTGGCAATCCAGTTGTTATCCGATTTTGCCGTGTCTTCCGGAGCTGCATCCGGAGGGGGCTCCGTGGGATGGCAGACAAAAGGCGAGGCAGGCAGGATTCCCTTTGGCTTGGCTTTTTGCTGCTCGCACATGCTTCGCAAAGGCTAAAGGGAGGGTAGGAAGAGGAAGGTACGTGATCAAACAGGTCACTGTCAGAGTTGTGGCTGGATGAAATAAAGACCAGACGGAGGAATGGATGGTTTTGGGACTTTTGGTGCGTGCGGAGAGTGAGGAAGGGGCATGTGGGAGCCGTCGAGGTGGATGGATGAAGCAAATACTGCGTAGATGCGGAGAAGGTCCTGCTGGTTGGGATGTATGTGCGATGGCACGTTCCAGCGCATCAGATGCGAGGTATCGCGATGTAGTTTCACAACCACAGCTGCTGCTTGCTCGGAGAGAAATGTCCTTTACGCGTAAGGTGAATTCACTACGACGTTGGACGCGAAGGAGAATGCGACGATGCGGGGATGAAGAAGGGGCTTTGATTTGGCTGGGCGAATGTCGCAACCGAGGAGACCTACCTCCTCCCCGGGTGGAAAATGGAAGAAAAGAAGACGCGTATTTGAGGATTGACAGGGTAGGGATGTTGACGGGCAGCGGAGATCAGCGCAGCAAGGCAGAATATGAAATTCTGTTCGAGGGGTTGCGTTGCGGTGCGTTGGCCCCTTCCCTTCCCCCCTCTCGATCAGTAGCTGTATGTACTGATCACGGTTGTCTAGCTGCACGGCGCGAGCAGCCAAGAAAGTATATGCATGGAACTCGAATAGAGTATGCAACCCGTCACCGTGGCTTTCCTCTTGGCTTTCTTTCCATGACCTTGGGGACTAGAGGGGGGAGGGAAAGAAAAGTGAATTCAAAATAAGTTTGAGGCCAAAGGGGGGGAAGAACTGCTCCGGAAAGGTTGCGTACACAGTACTTACGTAGTAGGGCCTCGATGGTCGTCAAACAGGGTTTTGCAAGGAGAAAGTCAATTTCCTTCCTTGCTGCAGAAAAATTTCTCTGCCTTCTTTTCTTTTCCATCGGAGTATTTTTCTTGCCTGTCGTGCTAGGCTTGTATCTTGCAGGAAAGGAGGCGACGGGGGGCCGCAATGATCTCTACTGTTCTAGATCGTGATCGACGGAAAAGAAAGGAACAAGACAGAGAGAGATGAATTGAGGAAAATGCGACGTTGGCAGTTTGGCATGGGGGTCGGGCGAATTCCAAGGTTTTTTGGCCCAGAATGCTACGCTACAGAAGACCAGGCCAGGCCAGGCCAGGCCCCTCCTCGGCGATCACGATGGCCTCTTGCGCTTGGCCGGGGGGTTTCCAGGTCCCGGCTTTCGGGTTACGTTGAGAGAGTAACAAGAGTTGATGATTTACAGTTGCGTGACTGCCACGCTGATGGACCACCTACGAAATGTACAGCCACACCGCAATGGGCAAAGCCGGGCAAAAATGTAAAAAAAGAAAGTCATGGGACAAAAACAACACCACAGTAGAAAATTGAGAGATGGGAAACAGACAGAATTGGACAGAACAGAACAGACAGACCAAAAAATGAAATAAAAAATACCAGAAATTGGGGTAAGGTGGAGATTTGGGGTGGAAGGTGCCGAGACCGACAGGGTTCAGCGTCGCGCGTTGGAGAATGTGGAGACGGCCGAGCTGCAACCTGCAGTGTACAAGGGGGGCGTGCGTGTGGGGAACGGAACACAGAGACGGGGGGGGTGTGCAATTGACAGTGGTAGACGGGCGTGAGATCAAAACGATTGGTAGAGAGCAAAGACACGGCGAGTACAAGCCTGCTTCGGGTTGGATTAGGTGATTGGGATGGATGAATCAAATCGGGGAAATGACAACGCTTGATATTCAAAAGGCAATGTAGCACCTTAAAATTGGACAATACATCATCAACGCTAAATGTATGTTATTCTTCTTTCGCGTCGGAAAAGATTTTCCTTCTCGCCCCCCATCACCCGTCACCTACAGGCTACGACCCCCAAGCGGAGCCATCATCCCATATCATCTCGCTCCGGCTCTTGCGCCGTCCGCCCGGGCCCTCCGGCTCAACCGTCCGGTGTTATCCGTCCCCTCCTCCCTTAGCCGTGCACGGGGCTTGGGGTCTCCCGAATCGCCCGGATGGTCTCCCTCATCCGCGGGTTAGCGTCGAAGCTAGCCTCAATGAGGTCCACGACCTCGTCCGCCGAAAAGTACAGGCTGAGCTCGCTGTCGCACCAGAGGTACTTGACCTCATTGAGGTTGGACTGGAGCACCTCGCTCAGGTACTTGAGACGGAGCCACGTGGCCGCGTACTGAGCCGTTGTTGGTATTTCGTCTGCTGCCGCTGCCCCCGTCGCGCCCGTTGTCCGCGACGGCAGAAAGAGGTCGTCGAGCTCCGTGACTTTTGCAATGAGCTTCGCGATCCCGTAAGCGTCGTCCTGGCCGATGGACGACGCGTCCATGACATCCCCGATAATCTTGGACGACAGCCCATCCAGGAGTGACCCCACCGCCTGGTACCACACCGAGCGTGCCAGAATCGATTCCCATGTCACCGCCATGGATCTGACCCGCGCTAGTGCCGAGTCCACGCAACTATCCAGTTCATCCTGCTGCATGAGACTTTGATCGCCTGTGCGTCTTGCGTTAGCCCAAAAGTCATACCGACTGCCGGCAGTCTGCAGCAAGTGCTTTCAGCCCAGGCTAGAACACAACCTACCTCCTAGCAGATCTCTCAGCACCGTTTTCTGCAATCCAAGTTCGTTAGTGTATGCGCGTGTCGCAAAGTTCTGCAGGCTCTTGATGTCGTTGTCTATGCGCAGCATGTTCTGGGCGCGGGTGGTGAGGTCCTCGCGTGACTTCCACTTTGATGCCAAATCAGCCAGCTTCTCGGACAAATACATGGCATCGTTGTAGAGGAACCTGATATTGGTCAGCTTCGAAAGGATCTTCCCGCAGGCACCAGCGACTTACATGTTCCCGCCAATGTCGAGCGAGTAGTAGTGCGGCGACACTGCTCGAAACATGGCTAATGCGAACGTCGGCAAGCTGAAGAGACCCGGGGCGGCGGCTGCCACTGGACTGCTTTCGTACCTGCGAGTGTTAGAAGGATCACCGAGTTGACAAGGACTCGCAACATACTCGGGCTGTGTCAGAGCCGCGCCGTCTTCTAAAAGGGCCAGGATAAGCTCCAGCACCGGCTCCGGCATGGAGGAGATGTGGTACGTCTCCTTGAGAACCATCTCCCTGCTCTCGTCTGGCTCAGCAGATACCGTCTTTTGCCTTTTCGTATGCGCCTTTGGTGCTTGGGGCTTTGGTTCTGGCTCCGTTTGCTCTGTCGCATCATCATCCCCCCAACCCCACGCGTCGGCTGCGTCGTCCTCATCGTCTGCCGTCTTTTCCTCGGCCTGCGCGGTCTCCTCTTGTGTGCTCTCTGTAGTTTGCTCCTCATCATTCCATCCCCAGGCATCGGCACCGTCATCTTCCTCCTGTGTGTCGTCCTTGGCTTCAGATGGCTCTTCGTCGTCGTCGACTCCCCATTCCGCACCCCAATCATCCTCTGCAACGGTGCCAGCTACACCGTTCGCCGTCAACTCCTTGCCTTCGGAACGAGACACCATCTGCTTTTCCACTTTTTCGACTTGCTTTGTGGCGCCGAGACCTACGCAACGTCAGCACTGTTTCAAGCGGGCATACACTGGGTGACAGACCGTTTGACATTTGCACCCTGACCGAATCAAGGGCTGTTTCTCTGCACTTTGCGAGCCATATTGACGGCGCACTGCCAACCCATTCCTTGAGCTCCGTAAACCCAGTGAATCCGTTGTCTTCAAGGACCTCGCAAAAGCGCCGTGCAGATTCGATGACAGCCTGGAACCTCCCAAGATCCTTGAGATTTGAGGGCACTTCTGAGTCGAGCCAAACTGAAATGAGCCTCGGGACCAGGTCGCTCATCATGATGGGGCTGAAGAACATGAGGAGATCCGGTGTCAGTCGCTTGGCCAGGAACTCAACCACCTTTTGGAGATCCGTAAATAGCTCGTCGATTGATCTTCCGGCTCGGCCATTCAGTTCAACAACGTTCTGCCGGGGTTAGCACCTAGGCCGTCACATAATCTCTAGGACATACCTCAGTCTCGCGAATGGATGGCAGCGATGAAGCTTGCGTGTCCATGCGCGGAAACACAATGGCCTTGTCAACATCGTGCCACAGCTTGGACATGCGATCTTCAACCTCTTTGTAGGCCTGAAGACCAATGATGGCTTCCGACAGCGTCATTTGCTCGTCTGGATTCTGTTAGCTTCTGGTGGGTTCAGCCAGACGGGTGCCAACTACCATCCAACTTTTTGTAAATAGCCAGGGAGCCTGCTTCGAGATCTGTGTGAACGAGCGATGCCCAGACATGGTCGAAGACGTCGTGAACGTGTGACTTGAGTTCGAAAGCCCTCACATCGAGGAGCCTCATGATCCGGCATGCCTTCTTGTTGACTGGGACAGCATCGAGCTCCGTCCAAGATTCTGCACAGCGTTAGCCCCTCGCCCTGACGCCGATGCAATCTTTCGGTCCTTACTTTCCAGCCACCGCAGCGAATCGATGATGCGCCGCTCGTTCATCGCCTGCTCGACCTCCCCCAAGAGCTCGTTGACATGCTGGATACCCCTGAGGGCGTCGTGCAGCTGGTTCGTGTATAGCACCTCCTTCTCGAGAAACTGAATGTGGTCCTCCGCATCTTGTATAGCCTTCCCCGAAACCTGCGGCGCTTCCGATTGTCGGACGATATCGTCGGCCAGCCTCTTGGATCGCAAGATGTCTTCCTGTAGTGTCTTCGCGTTGTGCACCCACGAGCTGACGTCGCCCTTGGTCTCTTCGTTTATCGTGTGGATTTCAGACTGCGCATGCATCAGTAAGAGGCTGGCATCGCTCGCTGTGGGCCTCGCATTACCTCCAAATCACCCTTGGCTCGTTCCAGCGCATCAATCGCAGGCGACAGATCGGAAGAGGACAGCGACAGCGATGATACCTGCTCGTCGGGGAAGCGCCCCTCAAGCGCAAAGGCAACCACAGCCTCTCCGAGCTGCGCCGAGGCATTCTGATCTGTTTCGACGGCCATCTTGTCGTTCCGTTGCCGTGCGCGGGACACACGCGTGGCTTCTCGAAGCTCTCGATATCGCGGGGCCGCTTCGGTCGGGGGGTGGCGCCAGGAGTCAGGGCGGATCGCAGGCAGGAAATGGGATGCGGTAGATCTGAGTTTTGGAGTGGTTCGTCTTGAGTTCAGGACGTCGTGATTCTGCAATTATGTAGCCAAGAAACGGGCGACAGGAGGACTTTGCCTCGTCTTCGAAGCGATGCCGCATAAAACCGGGCGATGAGCTACGGGCAATTATGACACTGGATTGCATAGCTGTCCCGAAAGCACCCACGTCACAATTCAATGTCCCCCCGATACGTACCTCGCGTCTGATCCGACCTTGTGCCGAGCGGTTGGCGCTTGGTCCAACGTGCTCTCCCGCGGCAAGGGGCCAATCGGGAGTCACCACCCCGCCGATGACTTTGCGAAAATCAAAAAAAATAAAGATAAACTCCACTGGTCCCTTGCCCTGGACTTTGGAGGGGCAGATGGACTGGTGCGCTCATTGTACGGCCAGCGACATCTCTCACGTTCTCGTGCCTCGCGACGAAGCGACAAACCCGGTAACTCGCACAGCGCAGCGCCAACGGGACTCCAAAGCAGCCATATATACCTATCCCTGAGGACCGCCTGTAAGCCTCCGCATCAGCTCGTTCTCCAGTGCTGTCGATACCCCTCCATCCTTGAGTCAGCACCTCTCGTGGCGGCGTTTAGGTAACCGCTACATCGGTCCCTATCACGGGCTGGCCAATACGCTTCGGGAAGCCTCATTGGTCTTCTTCATCTCTGTCCATCAGGCTGGCAAAGCCGGTTTCTGTACGGTAAGCTGCTGCGCCTTTTTCTTCCGTCCATCCTACTCGTTCTTTCTTATCAAGCCTTTTTGGCTGAAGTGGTTTTCCCCGATTGGCCCCTTGTCATTCTGCTTCTCTTCTTCGCCTGTCAACTGGTTATATGCCATGGCGCATTGCGCTGCACCATTCCGAGGCTGCAAGCTTCACACGACTGTCTGAGGGCATCCTTCCCGTGTCTGACACGTCGACATGTTGAAGGTTGGAGCCAGTCAAGTGGCGCTTGCCGTGGCCGTTGCGCTTCTGGCGGCTTGTCTTGTTCCCCATCATGGACACATCTTATCCAACAGAGCTGGGTATGTCTTCTCGGACCGGGTGTCCTGGTGTTCACGGACGTATGGCCGTTTGTCATACGAACTACTGCATCTATCCGCTGTCTGGTTATCTTCCCCTCCTGTTTTCAACAGCTATTTTCTGTTTTCCGGTGTAGAACTTCATCAGGAGACTCGTATTACCATGTCTGAGCTGCGTTTGTTGTCTCTTTATCCAAGGGCCATGAAACTATTTGCTCATGACTCTTCAAGCCCTGTGTCCCTGCTCATGCCTTTAAAAGAACCTCCCACAACTACACAGGACACCAAGTTGATCATCTCGTCAGATCATTCCAAAGCTTGTTCAAAGCAAAGTCACACACCATGTCGCCTGAGGAGCAACCCAAGCCGCAGCCGCGGTTCCGCAAGGTCCAGAGCTTCAAGACGGACTACGCCCCTTGCCAAATCAGCCAGTATGTCTCGGAGAGGAGCGGCATGCAGGTGATTGTAGCCGATCGCAAGGGCCCCAAGACCAATGGCTACTTCACTCTCGCAACCGAGATCTTTGACGACTCGGGTGCCCCTCACACTCTCGAGCATCTGGTATTCATGGGCTCAAAGAACTATCGCTACAAGGGACTCCTCGACAAGTTGGCGTCCCGAGCCTACTCTGGGACGAATGCCTGGACTGCGACGGATCACACCGCGTACACGCTCGAGAGCGCTGGCTGGGAAGGCTTTTCTCAGATCCTGCCAGTGTACCTCGAGCACGTCATCGTGCCCGTCATCACGGACGAGGCGTGCATCACCGAGGTGCACCACATTGACGGCGAGGGCAACGATGCGGGTGTTGTCTACTCAGAGATGCAGGCCGTCCAGTTCAAGAGCGCCGAAATCATGGACCTTCGCGCGCGCCGGCTGCTGTACCCGGAGAACGTGGGCTTCCGCTACGAGACCGGAGGCATGACGGAGGCTCTCCGGGTTCTGACCCCGGATCGCATCCGCCAGTTCCACCGTGACATGTACCAGCCCCGCAACCTCGCCGTGGTCATCATTGGCGAAGCAGACCACAACGAGCTGCTGCAGATCCTGGACGAGTTCGAGGAGAGCATCAAGGACGACCTTCCGCCGCTGGATTCCCCTTTCAAAAGGTAATTCGACTCCACACACCCAATGACCCATGCTGACGTGAGTTTTCAGACCCTGGATCGACTCAGCACAGCCCCCGGCGCTCAAGGAGACCATCATCACGACAGCCGAGTTCCCTGAAGAGGACGAATCCGTCGGCGAGATTACTGTGGCTTTCTACGGCCCCAACTGTACCAACACCATCGAGACGTCTGCACTCAACGTCTTGCTGACCTATCTTTGCGGTTCCTCTGTGTCGATTCTCGAGAATGTCATTGTCGAAAAGGAGGAGCTTGCAAGCTCCGTATCCTACTGGTGGGATGCCAGGCCCAACTCCGTCATCTGGTTCCAGCCGACTGGCGTCGAGACGGACAAGCTCGAATTTGTCGAGAAGAGGCTCGTGGACCTGCTCAAGGAAGTTGCATCGAAGCCTTTGGACATGACATACCTGACCTCATGCATCCACCGCGAACGCCTTCAGGTTAAGTTCCAGGCCGAGGAGTCTGAAGGCTTCTACTCCAACAACATCATCACGGACTACCTCTTTGGCAAGCGTGATGGTTCGACGCTCAAGGACTTGCAGTCCTTGTCCGAGTACGAAGAGCTCGAGAAGTGGACCGACGCCCAATGGAGGGACTTTTTGCGCAAGTGGTTATCCGATGCTCCCCACGTCTCCATCCTCGGCAAGCCGTCGCACGAGCTCGCGAAGAAGCAAAAGGCCGAAGAGGAAGCGAGACTGGCAAAGAGAAAGGAGGAGCTTGGCGCTGAGGGTCTGGCTGACCTCAAGAAGCGCCTCGAGGCTGCCAAGGCCAAGAACGATGAACCCATTCCGGCCTCCGTGATCGACCAGTGGGCTGTCCCCGGCACCGAGTCGATTCACTTCATCGAGTCTGACACGGCGAGGTCTGGAAAGGCCAAGAGCCTCGGCCTCGTCGACAACGCGGCACAAAAGGTCATTGACGGCGCCAAGAAAGGGCAAGACCCGCTCTTCATCCAGTTCGAGAGCGTGCCGACCAACTTTGTGCACCTGACGGTCTATCTCGGTACCTCGCAGGTACCGATCGAGCTGAAGCCGCTGCTGCCCATCTTCAACGACAACTTCTTCAACACTCCCATCATGCGCGATGGAGAGAAGGTTGGCTTCGAACAGGTTGTCATGGAGCTAGAGCAGGACACCATTAGCTATGGACTGCGCTCTACACGAGACTACGGCGACCCCGACGGCGTCATGATCCAATTCCAGATCGAGCCTGCAAAGTACTCCACCGTCATCAACTGGATCCGCACCATGATGTTTGACAGCGTCTTCGATATCCAGCGCCTCAAGGCGGGCGTCCAGAAGCACTTGGCCGACATCCCCGAGTTGAAGCGTGATGGCAGATCCATGGCCTCCGAAATCGACATGTCGATCCACATGAAGAAGGAGTCCTACTCGGTCGCCAAGCGCGCACTCGTCAGAGCCATCTACCTGCGCCGCCTCAAGAAGCTCATCGCCTCCGACCCGGAAAAGGTCCTCTCCTGGTTTGAGCAGCTGCGCAAGTCCCTCTTCACCTCAAACAACGTGCGCATCCTCGTCACCGCCGACGTCGTCCGCCTGCCCGAGCCCGTGGCCGCTTGGGACATCCTCAGCAACCAACTCGAGGGCTCCGACGAGCTGCTCCCCATCATCAAGCCGCACACCCTGCTCACAAAGGAGGGCCAGAACCCGGGCACTGTCGGCGCCACCATCGTGCCCATGACCACGGCCGAGAGCTCCTACGGCGTCAGCACGGCCAAGGGCATCACCTCCTTCGACGACCCCCGCCTCCCGGCCATCATGGTGGCCATCGGCTACCTCGAAACCACCGAGGGCCCCCTCTGGAACTCGGTGCGCGGCCAGGGGCTGGCGTACGGCTCGTATTTCGGCCGCGAGCTCGACACGGGCGTGATTCAGTACAAGGTGTACCGCTCGCCGGACGCCAGCAAGGCCTTTTCCGTGTCACGCGAGACGATCCGCAAGATCGCCGAGGGCGAGGTCGAGATCGACCGCCACCTCAAGGAGGGCGCCATCAGCCAGGTCGTCGTGCAGTTTGCGGACGAGCAGTCGACCATGGCGTCGTCGGCGGCGCAGAACTTCATGCTCGGCGTCGTGCGCAGCCTGCCGCTGGACTGGCACAAGAAGGTCATGAGGGACGTCCGGGACGTGACGGACGAGCAGATCAAGACGGTGTTGAAGGAGCTCGTCATGCCTGTTTTCGAGCCGGGCAAGAGTAACGTCGTGATCACCTGTGCTCCGATCTTGCAAGAGGTACGTTTTGTGGTGCAAGATTACAACAAACGTTTACTGACAGGGGACTGCAGAACATTGAAAAGGCGTTCAAGGAGATGGGGTACAAGACGGATGTCCAGCAACTCGCCTACTTCCACGACGACTACGGCCTCAAGGGCGACGAGGACGAGGAGGAGCTTGAGGAGGACGAGGATGACGAGTTTGATGACGACGAAGAGGATGATAGCGAGGGCGAATACAGCGATGAAGAGTCGGATTAAGACGGCGGGAAAGAAAGACCATGGTAGAAGTAGACTGGCATTGATAGAGCTGGCAGCCACAGCACCTTGGTGCGTGGGCTGGGATATCAGAGACGTCTGCCCAAGACACATCTTGACGGATTCACTGGAAGAGTCTTCATCATCTTTGTGATTTTGGCGACAGCCGGGGCCCCCCTTGGCCAAGAATATCTCATCCGGAGGCTCGTCAACAGTCCCTCCCTGTGGAATCTTGCAGCACGTATTCGAACTCTGATGTTTCGTTTTACATGCTTTTCGTCAGAGTAGCACGATTCCGCAATCCCACTGAATGAAGAAATGCTCTAATTCGCGAAAAAAGTGCTACTAAAAACATCATTATCCGTTCTCTCAACAGAGGGAAGAGAGTGGAAAGCCCCAATCCCCTGCCAGGAAACAACCCCAAGCAAAACACCCAAAACACCAATCTTGAACGTGGAAAAGGAAACCATGAAAAATGTACATCTCAGAGTCCGACTTCCGAATTGAGTTCCCTTGTGAGATGAGAAAAAGAGAAAGGCGGTACATGAATGCGTTATACACTTTCTAAAAACCCCCTAGTGAGCCCCCTAGTGAACCCCAATAGCCCTTGCTGACGGGAACATGAAAGATTACGCTCTCTGGATATCACTTTCTAGACGCTCCCTCTGTTTGCCCCTATCTTGAAAAAAATGTTTTACTTTTTTCTTTCACGTTCCGCTACGATCTTCAATCAACATCATCGTCGTTCTCAGGCTGGTCCCTAAACGACGGCGAAGACGGGCTATGCTTCCTCAACAGCCCGCTGGCCCCGCTCCGTCCCCACCCGCCGTTGGTCACCAGGTTAAGCGCGCGGTGCTCCGCCGCTGCCGGATCCTCCATGTCGAGGTCGCTGTCGTCCAGCTCGTCCTCGAGCGCCCGCCCGCGCGGGCTGAGCTTCCGCATGGGCATCGACTCCTGGAACCCGTCGGCGTACAGGTTCGGGTCGCGGCCCAGGACCCGGTCGGCCTTGGATGGTGTCTTACGTGATCCACCGTTGGAGGGAGGGGGAGGGGGCGATGTGAGGTAGTGTCGGCCCGCGCCGTCGGGCTTGGTAGGCGGCGCCTCGCGCATGAACGTCGGGGGTTCGTCGGTGCCCCAGCCGGCGTTGATCTCGCGCGCGCGCTGTTCCTGGCGTTCTCTCGCGAGACGCTCGCGGGCGGCCAGCCAGTTGGGGCTGGCTTCCCAGGCCCAGCCGTCGCCGGTGGTGTTGCAGACGGGGACGAACCACAGTAAAGGTTTGGGGCCAAAGAGGTGCAGCAGGTTCCGCTTCGCGCCAAGGTCGAATGCGTTGGGGAGCTTCTCAGAGTCCTGCTCGTCGAGGTACTCTTCGTAGCGCTTCTTTGCGCGCTCGCGCTCCATCTCTTCGTACGACTGATGCGTGGCGCCCATCGGCCTCGAGGAGCCGCCGCCGCCGCCGCCGCCGCCGCCGCGGTATTCTTCGCCTTCTTCGGGTCGCGTGATGCCCGGGAGGGCGTTTGCGTGGATGTCGAGGAGTTGTTGGCCGTAGGCGGGCAGCTGGATACCCTCGCCGTTGTGCTGGGCGACGAACTGGTGCTTCATCTGCTTCTTCAGCGGCGAGAGGTACCGCGTCTTCTCCAAGCACTCGATTGTCGTCTGGCCCCTGCTCGCGAGCAAGATGTGCCACCCCGTGAAGGCGCCCACTACGATGCCGATGATGCCGGCGATGACGCTGAGGATCACGTAGTTGATGGGCATCAACGTCTCGACGTACGTCGTGTTGTTGATGACCTCCATGTACACCCAGCTGCCGGAAACGAAGAAGCTGTAGAAGCAGAAGAGCGTCGTGTAGATGAGGAAGAGCAAAAAGGCCTTGTGGTTCTTCAGGCCGATGCAGGTCGCCAGCCACGGGCAGTGGTGATCCATTTTCAGGACGCAGCGGCGGCAGGTCGAGCAGTGGTGGGCGCGGTCCGGTTTCCTCGCCTGGCACTTCTTGCAGAACCGGAGCTCGCCGTTGGACTTTACGGTGAAGGAGGTGGCGGCCGGGGGCGCCTCGGTCGGTAGCGTGCTGTAGCCATTATCGTTTGTCGTGCTTCCGGGGCTCGTGAAGACGGCGGTCGTGTAGGACCAGTTGAGCAGGCCGTAGAGGAGGAGGGCGCCTGCGGAAGATGCGGATCCTATGGTGATGCATCGTTAGAAAGCGGCGGCGGGCGAGAGGGCATCATCAACGGACTACTTACCGAGCCACGAAGCTTTAGAAGGCAGGGACCCGATGGTGACATCTACCCAGACGGCCCAAGTGGTCAAGCCATAGACGAAGAGCAGAGGTATGTAGGTCGCGAAAGTGCAGCAGCAGCGTTCAAGCTTTCGCGCCCAGCGACGAGACATGATTTCGGAGGAGGGGATTGTAGACAAGCGAGATCCATCCATTCACTCGAAAAGGGAAATGAAAGAGAGAAAGAGGCAGCTAGGAAGGGCAAAGGACCATGGCGGTCAAGCACGGAAGAATGGCTGCTGATCGATAGCCACGAAAAGAAAAAAGGGCCCGCGAAATGGTAAACTGCTACGTTGGCTCAGCTCAACAAGCCTGGGTTTGTGATACGGATAGTCAGGGGGAGGTTAGAGGCACGAGCAGGGGACCTGGGTGGATAAACTGCCCTGTGGATGCGTGGAATGCAAGGTAACCTGCTGGCGGCGTAGCGCACCCGTGGCATCCAGCTGTGAGCGTCCCGCTGCCGTCTTACGCAGGGAGCTGAGGCTGAGCCAGGCTGGCCCCACTCCGCCCTGCGGCACGCTGTGGCGGTGTCTTAGTCCCCGTCACTGGCCCCAGTTCCCGCCCGTGTTCCGCAGGAGACAGTGGGCCGTTTGCTTGGTCCGCGCCGACCTGCATATCGATTTGCTTCCGAGAAACCTCGCTTTTCGGTCCCACGACTGACTCTGATGATTTGGTATTCGCCAACTATCTACCAGATGTGAAATCAAATGCCGCCCAGCCTGTCCTTTTGGATGAGCAAGTCCGGCTAAACGCCCGTACCCGAGGTTACCACAACGCCGGTCCTCAACACCTTGAGAAACATAATGAAGTAGATGCCAAAGACCATGGCGATCAACAACCATCTACGAAACCTCTGCACCCCCAACGTCCCTTACAAAGCTGCACTTAATCGTCGCGGCCTTCAACGACCATTCCCATGGCGTTCGGAACGCCAACGATGACCTTGCCTCTCGGAACCCGGACATCCTTGACCTTCATGCATCCAAAGACGTTGATCTCGCGAATGTTGGGGCAGCTTCGGAAGATGCGTCCGAGAACGAAATCATCCACCTCCTCGATGAAGCTGATCTCGAGCTTGACGAGGTTGCGGTACTGGTCTTCCTCGGAGAAGGCGTCCTCGAACGCTTCTCGCTTGATGTGACGACAAGCGTGGATGTTGAGATTCTTCAGCTTCTTCCCGGAGTGCTTCATGAGGGCACGGAATCCGTCAGAGCAGAGACCAATGTCGTCTTCGTTCTCGCGGGGCTTGGTCGAGTCACGGTAGCGGCACTTTTGGAGGTCAACGATCTCGATGCCGGGGTTCTCCCAGTTGTTGAAGAGGTCCGCAAATCCCTCGTCCGTCATGTGCTCGCTGTCGGTGATGCGGAACTTTTTGAGAGAACGACAGGTGTCTCTGATCGCAGTCAATACCTCGTCATTGGCCGTGGGCATCTTTTTCAAGGAAAGCGTCTCCAGGTCCTTGCCTACACCGTGGATCATGTGGGCCAGGCTCTTGGAGGTGATGTCATGCTGCAGATGGAGGCCGAGGTGCTTCAGAGACTTGATATCGGCGATTGACTTGACGCCGACGTTGGTGACCTTTTGGTTGTGGTAGACCTTGAGGCGATTGAGGTTGGGACAAGTCTCGGGGAGGAGAGCGAGCAGCTCGTCACCAACGTGCTTATCAGTGTAGTAGACCTGGATGGCTTCCAGATGGGCACCCTTCTGCTGGACAAACTTGGTCCAGCTCTCGTCACTCAGGAGGTTGGCGCCGTGAAGAATGAAGTGCGTAAGCTTGATGTCACGACTCAGAAGGTAGTCCATGACCTCGTCCTTGAACTGAATAGAGTTACGAGCCTTGAATCTCTTGAGGTTGGGTGCCGTCTGGAAGATGCTCTCGAATTCGTTGGAGCCCAGCTTGGCACCGTCGTAGATGTGAAGGACCGTGGTGGACGGCTGCACAAACAGGGGCAGTGTCACAGGGCTGAGCAGTCGACGCTTGGAGAAGAGTCGCGCAATCTTGTCCATCACCTGGTCCGGCAAATCGCCCAAGCTGTCGGCGAGGTCAACATTCTTGGCCAGAGTCTCGATGCAGAGAGTGGTCAGGTTCTTGGCGCCCGTCTGATATGTGCCGTCGAGGATGTTGCTCTGCATCTTGCGACGCTTGCCCTGGCCACCGGTGGGTTTCTTGGGCTTCTGCTTGCCCTTGCCCTTCTTGGCAGCCTCGTCCTTGCTGCACTGCGCGCAAAGTAGACCGCCCTCGGGGCCACTCAGCGAGTAGGCGGTGACGGTGAAGCGCTTCTTGCAGATGGCGCAGTTGTCCATCTGGCCAGGCAAGGGTTGGGCCATTTGCTCGAATAGGGCGCGTGCTATGTCGTCCTCGTCCTCTGAATCCATGCCCCGGTGCTTGCGCTTCTTGAATGCTTTGGAGGCCTTGATCTTGGCGATAGCCATCTGCTCCTTCTTCTGGCGCTTCGCCTTCTCAGCTGCAGTCTCATTGCGGCCGGACTGGGCAGCCCCGGCAGACGCTGTTGAAGGGCCGGCCTCGGTCTCCTCATCGTCATCATCATTTCCATTGGCATTATCTGCTTGGTTCTGGGCAGCAGCAGCAGCACGACGCTGGTCTGCATCCCGGCGAATCTGGTTTGCAGAGATGTTGTGGGCCTTGAAAGCACATTGTCAGTCTGCACAGATGGTTAGTTCAATCGAGATTCTTACAGCAAGGTAGTCGGTCAAAGCCGATTGTCTAAATTCGTGTCAGTGATGAGATGCGCATGAAGAGTAGAAGAACTCACGGTCCGGAGATGTGGCGGGTGATACGGACAGTGCCTGCAGCATCATCCTGAGGAGCAGCTTGACCCTGCTGAGGAGTCTGGTTCTGGTTCTGGCCTTGAGCAGCCTGGGCAGCCTGAGCTTGGGATCGACGAGACGGTCTCGCCATTTTGGTGATGGATACTTCCAGTCTCTGTGTGCAACGTTGATGAGTTGAACCTGGCGAGTTTGGTCGAAATTTTTTTTTTTTTTTCGAGCTGCAGTTGCGATGAAGTTCAATCCTTGGGTGTTGCGGCGAGTCGTGATTGAGAAATCCCTTTCGGATAGGTGTGGCAAAAGTTGTCTGAATTACACACTAGCCATGGGGTAGGAACGATAGACACTACCGGCAGGTTGATGGGTTGGAAATGGGCTCAAGTCCAGACCTTTGGTTGGAGAGAAAGGCAGACGACAAACCGCAAAAATCACACTTGTCGACAATGCCGTGATGCGCTGGTTCGGGGGCAAATTGAAAGGGGGCGACAAAGAAGTAGTGTCTTCTGGAGTCCTCTTGTTCCTGGATCGATACGCCCAGACCAGGTGTTGGAGGGTGAAGTTTGCAGCACACTGTACTGGTGATTGCCAATCTCTCGAGATCAGTGGGTGGAATCTAAGGTGCTGGTGAGGATGCACCGTGTGAAAGATGCAAGTGATGGCGCAGGTGGTAGGCAGCTGCAGGGGTTTAATTGAAGTAGACCCACAACAGTCCCGTCGTGGGGTACGGAGTAGGTAGGTGGACTCGAATGGAAGGAGCCACAGAGCCACTGTACCGGAGTCGTCGGGGAGCAGATCGATCGCCCAAGTCGAATCGTCACACTGGAGCCCCAGGGACATGGAGATCGGCCATCTGCCTCTGCATCCAATGCTGCCATTTCGGTCTTGCTATGTGTTCTCCTGCCAGATGAAACTATTTCTGAGGATGGTTTTGTATGCCAAGTGGGATGTACTGCTAGAAATCGCAACCAGGGGACCATTCACTTCGCCAGGTGCCTTGATAAGCTAGCTTGGATCCCCATCAAGGAACGTGTGCATCATCTCGACAGAACGTTCATGTTCACACCAGTGACCAGTGACCAGCGACCAGCGCCTAGATCCCAGCCAAGCTAACAAAAAAACTTCCCATTTCCAGACTGGCTTTAGGCTTTAGGCAGTCGCCCCTGCGTCTGGGCGCCTTCTCATCCCTGACAAAGAGGCCACGTGACTTCGTGTACAGAGCCCGCCATTGAAGGGCGCGTCCTTGATCTCCCCAGGCCCCCCTCCTTCCCCGTCTCTCTTGTCTGAGGTGAGGCGGTCCTTCTCAGCTTTGCCTGACCGAAAAGGAGTTCGCCAGTGGCAAGTCCAAATTCTTTTTTCCCCTTGGCCCTTTCCATCACCACTTACCTCTTTTTTTCTTTCCCTTTTTCACATCACCAATCGTCAGACTGTGTGGCCTCTACCCCAGGGCAGTCTACAATTCCAATTCGTCCCTTTCCCCTCCCTCACCAAAAGGTACCGAGATACCCCAATCATCGACCCCCTTGGTGCACAGTCTCCAAGCTTCTTCGGCGATAAGCTGAGACTGTTCGCCACCACTTGCCGAGCTTTGTCCTGGCCATCCCAACTTTCTTCTCACGTCAACCGCCGCCAAACCTTCACCTCTGTGTGAGAAATACTGGCAAACTTCAATTTTTTCTCTCTCAAAATTGAAGTCGCAAGTGCACAAAAATCACCTCGCTGCACCGAAAGGTTATCATCACCGTCAAGATGACTGGCCGCCGTGGTCGCCCGTCTCTCGCTCAGAAAGAGAGTATGGCCTCCACTCGAGGCAGTAAGTCGATGATTTGATTTATTTTTCGGTCTGCTCGTTCACCATCAGCTCTTCGATGACTGCGTGCGCAAAATGCAATTGATCGATGTCTAACACATCCACAGACTCTCCTGACCCTCTGTCTGTTGCTGGTACCGGCCGTCTCACTAGATCTGCATCGAGCCGTAACCTTGCAGCTGCGGCTCAACCTGTCACTTCAGCCCCTCCGACTGCCAAGAGAGGTCGAGGTCGACCCAGCAGAGCCTCCCTGGCCAACGACTCGGCTTCCTCAACTGCATCTGCGTCTGCTGCTGCATCTGCCGACCTCACTTCTGCTAGTGAAGCCTCCACTCCTGCTACCAGCAATGTCGCTACACCGGCCCCCTCTGTCTCTGGGTCCGGCTATGTCCCTCTTGTACTGCCTGCCGCTTTGAGAAACCCCAGGCTTAAAGGACCTCAGTCTGCATCCAAATTCGAGGTTCAGCTTCCCACTTCTGCTGGACTCAACGAGCGTGCTCTGCGCCACAGCCAGTATTCTATGCAGCCAGCCAAACGCAAGGTTGGCGGTGGTTACTACGACGACGACGATGAAGAGGATGAGGAGCCTTCTGACAATGATCGGGATGCCGTGGTTGCTCGCCGCCTCCAGAAGGAAGAGAACAAGAAATCCACTGCCTCTACCGGCCTGTCCGATGCCGCCCTTGCTCGACGTCTCCAGGAAGAGGAGTACGAGATGGATGAGTCTGATGTCCCCCTTGCTACCGGTCGCGGCCGTCGTGCGACTGCTGCTAAGGCCACAGTCAAGGACAGCGACGCCGACTCTGAGGATGTTCCGCTTCTTTCTCGATCCAAGCCTGTTGGTCGGGGCCGAGGTAGACCCCCCAAGAAGCAAAAGGTTGTGGTCCCTGAGTCGGACAACGAGGATGAACCTGCAGATTCGACGGACGACGAGCTTAGCGATCTCTCGGACAACTTTTCTGAACTGGAGGACGATGATAGCAACAAGATCCCCAAGAAGGCAAAGGCAAAGGGCAAGGCTAAGCAGCCAGTCAGACGGACTAGAGCTTCCGCTTCGACATTGCCTCCAGCCTCTGTGGGCCTCCCTGAAGACGAAGACGATGCTTTGTCGAGCCTCGATAGCGGCGACTTTGACAGCTCGGAATCTGACGAGGCCGATAGTGATGGTGGTCTTCAGAGCGCCGTGGCGGCACAGTCCCGTGGTCGTCGCGCCTATCAGCGTGGCTCTAAGCGTCGCGGCATGCTTGAACGCGCCAGGTTGGAGAACAACCATCCTGAGCTTCTCACCATGTGGCAGACCTTGGAGGCGTCTCCGGCCCTCAGGCCCGACAAGATTGCTCAGCCGCAGCAGATCTCGCGTCAGCTCAAGCCCTTCCAGCTCGAGGGCGTCTCTTGGATGATTGAGATGGAAAAGACCGACTACAAAGGCGGACTTTTGGGTGACGAGATGGGTCTCGGCAAGACCATCCAGGCGGTATCCCTGATCATGTCCGACTACCCCCAGAAGAAGCCCTCCCTCGTCTTGGTTCCTCCCGTTGCTCTGATGCAGTGGAAGAGCGAGATTGAGTCGTACACGGACGGCACCCTCAAGGTCTTTGTCTACCACGGTACTATGAAGAACGCCAAGAACATGACCCTGAAGGAGCTCAAGAAGTACAATGTCATCATGATGTCGTACAACAGTCTGGAGTCCATGTACCGAAAGCAGGAGAAAGGCTTTACCCGCGCAGACGGCGTACACAAGGAGAAGAGCTTGATCCACCAGGTCGACTTCCACCGCATCATCCTCGACGAGGCCCACAGCATCAAGACCCGTACTACCATGACGGCGAAGGCTTGCTTTGCTCTGAAGACCTCGTACCGCTGGTGCCTTACCGGAACTCCGCTGCAGAACCGCATTGGCGAGTTCTTCTCCCTGATCCGCTTCCTTCAAGTCGCGCCTTTTGCGTCGTACTTGTGCAAGCAGTGCCCCTGTGCCGGCTTGGATTGGAACCTCGACGACGATCACCGTTGCCACTCGTGCGGACACGCCGGCATGCAGCACGTGTCTGTATTCAACCAGGAGCTCCTTAACCCCATTCAGAAGTTTGGCAACTTTGGACCGGGCCGCGAAGCCTTCCAGAAGCTCCGTCTGATGACCGATCGCATCATGCTTCGTCGCCTGAAGAAGGACCACACCAACTCCATGGAACTCCCCGTCAAGGAGATCTATGTTGACCGCCAGTTCTTTGGTGAAGCGGAGAATGATTTTGCCAACAGCATCATGACCAACGGCCAGCGCAAGTTCGAGACGTACGTCGCTCAGGGTGTCTTGCTCAACAACTACGCCAACATCTTTGGTCTCATCATGCAGATGCGCCAGGTGGCAGATCATCCCGATCTGATCCTTCGCAAGCATGGAGAGGGCGGCCAGAACACACTCATGTGTGGCGTCTGCGATGAGCCGGCCGAGGATGCCATCAGGAGTCGCTGCAAGCACGATTTTTGCCGCGCCTGTGCTAGAAGCTACCTGTTGTCTTCCGCTGAGCCTGACTGCCCCCGCTGCCACATTGCCCTGGCCATCGACTTGGAGCAGCCCGAGATTGAGCAGAATGAGGCCGATGTCAAGAAGTCTTCGATTATCAATCGAATCAAGATGGAAGAATGGACTTCTTCCTCCAAGATTGAGCTTCTCGTCCACGAGCTTCACAAGCTTCGATCCGACAATGCTTCTCACAAGTCCATTATCTTTTCGCAGTTCTCTTCCATGTTGCAGCTCATCGAGTGGCGTCTTCGTCGCGCCGGTATCACCACCGTCATGCTCGACGGTAGCATGAGCCCCGCGCAGCGCCAGGCGTCCATCGACCACTTCATGACCAAGACGGAGTGCGAGTGCTTTCTCGTCTCTCTCAAGGCCGGTGGTGTCGCGCTCAACCTCACCGAGGCGTCTCGCGTCTTCATCGTTGACCCGTAAGTTACACGCCTCGATATCTTTACTGTCAAGATCCTGGCTAACATACATGTAGTTGGTGGAACCCTGCCGCCGAGTGGCAGTCCGCCGATCGTTGCCACCGTATTGGTCAAACCCGTCCCTGCACCATCACCCGTCTCTGCATCGAGGACTCGGTCGAGAGCCGCATGGTGCTGATCCAGGAAAAGAAGACCAACATGATCAACTCCACCGTCAACGCCGACGACAAGGCCATGGAGTCTCTGAGCCCCGAGGACATGCAGTTCCTGTTCCGTGGTTCTTAGACTTTTGGGTCGTCTGCAAACTTTCCTTCATCATTGTGTTTTCCCGCAAAAAGTGGATTTCTGTGGTTTTCACCAGGGCGGCGTTGAGGACAAGGCAGGGCACACGGAAAGGACAAGGACATTGGGACTGTAGTACCCAGCCCCCATCATTGGAGTCGGGCGTGCGTCGTTCTCTTCTTCCTATACCCCCTTTTCGATTTGCAAATGGCTGGCATGGTAGTACCGCGTTCACGGATGAGATCCTTTCATGTGTATGGGTACGGCCCATTACTTTAGGTAGATACTCTCAACTTTCAGCTGGGAGGTTCTTTGTTGCCCAAAGAGGTCCATCTGGACAGTAGATTCAAAAATTAGGTATCAGCAACTATTGATGCGCAATGCCAGTGACTGCAGTGAGGAGCCATATAGTGCCGTATAATGAAATGGCCGGTCAGCGATGTCAGCATCCATGGGACCGTTGATCCGCAAACTCCGCACGTGGGCGCTGGGTTATGTAGGGGCGTTGTGTACCGGGGTTATTGGTGTCCTGGATTCATGACTCCAGAAAATCCCAGAAAGATATCCCAAATGGTTACTCAATCCCCACAAGCTTCAGGTGAATCAAATGTTCACTCTGGGAAAGTTTATCCTGGACGGAGTACCACGTCGCTCGCGATGCCAAGCGGCCGAAATATATACGTAACACAACCCGTTCCGTTTCCAACGCGCCAGTGCCATTCTTAGCACGGGAAAACGAAACACACGGTTTGCCGTAAAGAGGAACGCTGATTTTGGGAAATCTGGGATACGAACTTTGCTCGATTGGGTACCGCGTGGTCTTTGAGTTGACAGGACTTGCGAGTCAGGCGACGACATGGGGGGTGTTTGTGTGTTCGGACTCGGTACCCGTCCGGGGTGCGTCCATTCGTGGATTCGTTTTGGTATGGCTTGTGAACCGTCGCAGATAGGGTCGTTGAAAGCACAATTTGTTTAGAGAAAGAAACATTGTGGTTCAACGCCCAGGTTGACGCTGGGTGCGGATTATGTACTATACTAATTATTTACGTGAATAGTTTTGACGATATCTCCTTCAGCCGTAATGGCTTTGAGATATCCCTTGATGGTATCCTTTTGATGATGATGATGATGATGATGATGATGCTTCCCCTAAACTCCAGAAGCCCGCTTCCCTGCCTTTCATAACATGGTCATGACATTTTGATTTCATTTTCGTGTGCACGGCATGTCGCCCTCTTTACTCCTCGAGCGACGCGGCGTACTCGATATCCTGCTGGGCCCAGGCCGTCAGACGCGCTTCGAGGTCCTCATCCGAGATGTCCTCCTCCCTCTCCTTGATGCCGAAGCCGTCGGTACTGCAGGCGCCCGTCCGGCGGAGGTAGTACAGGTGGGCGTCGACGTCGAGGCCGAACGTGCCGCCGTTGCACTTTGTGTTGGCGGCGCCCTCGCAGACCTTGATGTCGGCGACGGCGTAGTCGACGGTGGTGGCGTTGCCGGTGGAGAGCCAGTACTCGGGGCTGGTGTGGCGGTAGCCGAAGAGGATGGGGGGCAGGCGGGGGACCGGGTCGTCGACGTGGGTGACGCGGTACTCGGCGCCGGCCTGGGCGGTGACGAAGTTGGTGAAGGCGGCGTTGCCGACGCGGGGGCTGCCGTAGGTGTAGATGTCGACGGGGTATCCGTCGCGGCGGAGGTCGGCGGCGGCGATGGTGACGACGGCGCCGCCGAGGGAGTGGCCGGTGCCGACGATGGTGTAGCTGGGGTTGGCGGCCTTTGCGGACTTGACAGAGGCCAGAAGGGAGTCCTTGATCTCGTCCCAGCCGTTGGCGAAGCCGGTGTGGACCTTGCAGCCGTCGACAAAGTCGCAATCGTCGAAGCCGAAGAGGATGTTGGTGATCCAGTTGCGGACGTTGCTGGAGCCGCGGATGGCAATGACAATGTTCTTTCTCACGGGATCCGTGGCGACGAAGCCCTCGAGACCAGAGACGAGACCGCTGGAGCGTGTTAGCTACCTTTAGGTGAAAGGTGAAAAGCCAGGAGTATTTCGTCAACTTACGAAAAGGTTCCCACAATCTTGCCTCCGTTGGCGGTGACATCAGGGCAAGCATCGGCGCTGCAGGTGATTGACGCACCAGCAGCGGCTTCGCTGTTGCAAGAGGTTGCTGCCACCATCTATGTTACTTGTTAGCACACGCGGTCAAGTCAAAAGTCTGGGCAATGTCCTACCTGAACGTAGTACTCAAAGTTGGACAGGTCGGCGCTCGACACCGTCACGGCTCTCTCGTCAAGAGCAGCCACCGGGGCCCTGACATCGAGGAGGGGGGATGCCGAGACTGCGGCAGACAGCAGAGGGAGAAGAGACAACTTGGCCAACATGATGACGGTAGAGGAAGCAACTCAGGACAACAGGAACAGGGACGGGACTCGATGACTTTCTCGTGAAGCACAACGAACAGAGAGACAAAGCAAGTTACCGTCCTCACGCTGCCGCAACGTCTTATACATAATCAAGAGAGCAACGAACGGAGCGCCGGGGTAAAGAGACCAGTGGATCGACATCGAGTCGTACACCCCAGACAACGGTCCGTTGTAAGGGTTGCGGTGAGTGTCCACCATGCCTCCAAGTCAAGCATTCATGGCTCGGGCGAGGTTGGGGGCCGGTAGCAAACCAACTCCCCTCGATATTGGGGATATGCAAGCCAGGGTGAGACTTCTCACGCTAAAGCAAACAATACGCAAGACTTTGCGGTTTCTGGCAGTTCCTCCGCTTCTTAGAGCAATCTCGCCAGGCACAGAGCGGTGGAAATCGGCACTAGAAGCACCATTTGCGAATGGAAGAGATGCGTCCTTGGAGAAGGCGGTTCCATTCTCAATTTAGCAAGGGGCCAAGCTCAAGAGGTCCTACCGGGGGGCGGCAGTGCGGGATAGATAGCTTTGGCCATTGGGTGGCCTCGTCAGACAGACAAGAGGACAAGACCTGGTCCTGGCCACTATAGCCAAGTATTGGTGGCAGGTCAGCGGTTCGGAGTGATTAGTAGCAAGCCTCGAGTGATATCGGTCTTGAATCAGTCCAACCATGAGGAGCAGAATCCACGTGGGTGTGATGAGGTTGATGGACCGTCAAGGTGGTAAGGAAGCGCCCGTGCGGTCAGACAGAACATCTCGATCCTTGGGTGCCCGTAGTGCAAAGAGTCAAAGACAGAGACAAGCAACGAGAGTTTCTGCTCAATAACTCTGCGATCCTGGGGTGTCATTTGGCGCCACGTGAGCCAAGCATCCCCATAGTGGGCTTGCCGCTCATTGAACAACGACAACTGAGTGGATGGTCCCTGGACGGCGACGAGCCGGGGTGAAGCTGGGCAATTCCCACTTCTGTTGGGCTCTGTCGAAACAATAGCGTCCGCACCGGGAAGAAGTTTGTTAATGAAGCTGGCCGAATGGTCCTTGTTGGAACGAACTGGTGGTCAATTGCGGTCGGCCGATTGCTGGAAGAAGCCCGCCGGCCCCCGGGCGAGTCCCTGGACGAGGCCCGCAAGAGCTCAACAAAATGCTGCCAATATGGTCTTGTGCGAGTTTGAATTTTCCGATTAGTCTTGGAGAGTCGTAAGTCCAAGAGCCAAGATACGTAGAACCAAATCGGGATTCTCGTGTGGTGATACGCGGCCCTCTACGCTGGAGAGCCGCTCTCGAGGCATCACGCGGACGAATAAATCTTCGTCCCACGGTCCGTTCCTCCCAATCGAGTATGGAGGTCGGACAGGCAGAACAAGTTCCAAGAGCATCACGCCCATAGTTGTCGGCATTAAGGTACGCCTACAGACTATTGACAAGAATATTTGCAAAGAAAAAGCATGTGGATGTGATTAAAGACGGGAAGATGCAGCTGAGATGGATGGCAGATGCAACACCAAAGCCACTAGATTGCGGTAGAGTGAGATGGGGGTGGGATGAAAATGCTTAGAGACTTGGGGTCGGCGGCAGCGTTATGTCATGCTGCTTCCTGCCGCGTCTTGGGAGCTTCGGAGCTGAATCTCGCAGCTTCCTTCTTGTCTCTAGACTCTGGGTGTGCGGCAGCTGCAGCTTGCCAGCTTCATTCATGCATGCCGTGATGCCGTCCTTGCCAGCTTTTCTCTACGTCTGTCTAGTGTCTACACTACACTACACTACACTACAGCAGGCTCTCCCTCCTTCATCCACCCACACACATCTCTTCCAAGCTCCAACGGTCAACGGTCGACGGTCAACCTCCACCATCGTCGATTCGTCCCTTCTTCCCACCGGGCCACCCGTACCTGATGATCAGATGTCGACCTAGCAACGCGGGGTTGAGACATTCTAGAAAGAAGGGCTGTCATCCGGAGTCCGCGCCCACGAGACCTCTTCCTCGCCCTCCATCACTTGGTCTCTTGGCCTTGGTCTCTTGGGCCAATACAACCTCGATGCCTCCCCCTCACGACCAGTCCATGTTGCAGCCATCAGCTACGACATATCGGACACTACCACACATCTCATTCAGCTATCACTGCGCCATCTCTCGAACCGACATTTGACCTTCTTTCTTCCCAAGATTGCCGTTCATGCCGTGCCGCTTCCACCGACCTTACCTCTGATCGATTCCCGTTTTCCGTGCAGAACATGAGCCGAAATCTGCGCTCCATCATCCCTGACCCCTGCCCCATCGATCTTCGCCGCTGGACCGAGTTTGGGATTTCCGACCGCCTGGTGCTGTTCGCTTGCGAGTTTCCTAATTTCAGCAGTGCCCTAGACTCGATCTGGTGGACGTGGCAGACCCCAAGCAGAGGCCTCTTGGGGTATCACGAGGTCCGTCTTGTACCACCATGCCAATGGTACACACCCATTTGCAATGCTGCATATGCACTTATTCAAGGAAATAGACATCTGCGACCTGCCCAGTGAACCACGCGCGCAATGCAACGCCCGACCACAATCTGACAGACTGACAGCTCTCCCCGCGTCGGAGCCGAGCCCGGACGAGCAGTATTTTTCCCTTGTACAGTTTGCTGACCGCTCACAGCTCGCCAGGCATTCTCACCAAGCGCCCACCCTGCACGTAACAAGGGAGATCTTCACATCCAGTTTGCATGTCACCCTGGATCGGCCATGTCGACATTTACGGTCATCATCGCCGTCTCGTCGACCCTTTGGGCCTCGAGCGTGGGTCTTCTTCACGGCTTAATCTTGTCATACCCACCGCTCCTTTCAACGCCCTCGCTGGAAAGCCCGACTCTGAATTGTCAATGTTCCCCGGGGACTTGCGAATGCCGTCGCTTAACTCCAAGTCCCAGGTTCCCACCTACCAACTCCCGCCCGAAGCGAGGCGGTTTCGGCCGCTAATCCGGTTCGACACCGAATCAATCCTTTGTACCAAAAGACTACAGCACAGAATCTCCAAAGGGTGGTATTATCCCCCGCCTTCCACTGACTTATCGCTGGCGCTGTCGTATCAACCCGTACTTTGTCTACGCGACATGTCGATCGACCACTCTAACGCTCATATCTGACAAGCATAGGCCCGAACGATCCAGCACAGCTACCCAAAGGGAGCATCCCACAACCTTGATACGTTGCAATATCTGCCCTTTTCTAATGCTCTTGGACCCTTCTGGTAGCTATCAGGGCATCATGAGCTGTCAGGTATGGCTGCATATCCCTGCGGTCAGTAGAGTCCACGGAGCTGCCAAGCGGATCGTCTGTTGTCACTTGCCTTCTATACCACGCGGACGTTAAGGGCCCGTGATTGGAGTGTATAGTCATAATGACAAGTGAGAGCTACCGGTCCGCCAGCAGCGTAGATATCCCGTGCGTAGTATATAAGTGGGTGGTGGTGCTCGCGATGTCGCAGTTTCTGTAGCTCCTGTTCTTCCGCTCGTGTTGACGTAGCTCTCTCTCGTGACCTATATCATTGGTTCGAGTCTAGCCTGTAAGAGCCTTGCGGTAACGAGACCAATCGACCGCCGCCATGGCAAACACATTCTCTGTCAAGTCCCTGGCTGTGGCCCTCCTTGCCAGTCACATCTCATCCTGCGACGCCGCCGTGATATCAGTGAGATCCGATGTGCCTGCCGGATATGTCGCCGCGCCCTACTACCCAGCACCGTACGGCGGCTGGGCCTCGGACTGGACAGACAGCTATAGGAGGGCGAAAGCTGTGGTTGATAAGATGACGTTGGCTGAAAAGACCAACATCACGTCCGGAACTGGCATCTTCATGGGTGAGTCTTGACTGTGGAGCGATATTGTAGAACTCGTTCAACTAACATGCATAGGGTGCGTTCATCATCACAACATGTATGGCTCCTGCTAACCATAGCCAAGCCGCTGCGTTGGAAACTCTGGCAGCGCCCTTCGTGTCGGTTTCCCCCAGCTATGCCTCGCAGACTCGGCAACCGGTCTCCGTCAAGCCGACAACGTGACGGTGTTTCCGTCCGGCATCACGACTGGTGCCACCTTTGACAAGGACTTGATGTACGCTCGCGGTGTTGCCATAGGCAAGGAATTCCGAGGTAAAGGCGCCAACGTTTACCTAGGGCCGAGCGTGGGCCCCATAGGGTATGTTCTGTCCCTGACGATGTGACAAATTCGCTCAGAGCAAGCTGACCATATCAGCCGAAAGCCCCGTGGTGGCCGAAACTGGGAAGGCTTCGGGGCCGATCCTGCGCTGCAGGGCAAGGCTGCTGCTCTGACGATCAAGGGCGTCCAGGAGCAGGGCGTCATCGCCACGATCAAGCATCTCATCGGCAACGAGCAGGAGATGTACCGCATGTATAACCCTCTACAGCAGGGATACAGTTCCAACATTGGTGCGTTGCCGAGAGAGTCCAGTACTTAGTCTGTTGACTAACAACGATAGATGACCGAACACTACATGAGCTCTATCTGTGGCCTTTTGCGGATGGCGTACACGCAGGCGTAGGATCCGTGATGACGGCCTACAATGCGGTAAGTGTTCTGTGCACTTCATTGAGACTTGAGCTGACGGGGACCAGGTCAACGGCTCGGCATGCAGCCAGAACAGCTTCCTCATCAATGGCATTCTGAAAGACGAGCTCGGCTTCCAAGGCTTCGTCATGAGCGACTGGCTTTCACACATGTCCGGCGTTGGTTCAGCCCTCGCGGGGCTCGACTTCAACGCCCCCGGTGACCAGCAAGTTCCCCTGACGGGCTACAGCTACTGGATGTACGATCTCACCAGGGCGGTGCTGAATGGATCCGTCCCTGTGGATCGCATCAACGACATGGCCACCAGAGTCCTGGCGAGCTGGTACCAGATGGGCCAGGACTCGGGCTTCCCCGCGCTCAACTTCGCCACGGGAACCCGCAACAGGGTGGGAGATCTCTACCCGGGAGCCTTCCCCTTCTCCCCCAGCGGCGTCGTCAACGAGATGGTCCAAGTGCAGGCGGACCACTACCTCGTCGCCAGGCAGGTCGCGCAGGAGGCCATCACCCTGCTGAAGAACAACGGCAGCCTCTTGCCCATTGCCACTTCGGCGTCGATCAAAGTGTTTGGCACGGATGCCATCACAAACCCAGACGGTCCTAACGCTTGTGCCGATCGATCCTGCAACAAGGGTCTGCTCGGCATCGGCTGGGGCTCGGGGACGGTTGACTACGTCTACCTCGACGATCCCATCACCGCGTTTAAGAAGAGGGCCAGCAACGTGACGTTCTACAATACCGACTCCTTCCCCTCGGTACCTGCTCCAACAGCGGATGATGTTGCCTTTGTCTTCATTACCTCGGACTCTGGGGAGAACCAGTACGTCGTAGAGGGTAACAACGGTGACCGCAGCTCGTCTGGCCTCGACGCCTGGCACAACGGCAACAAGCTGGTCCAGGACGCCGCCGCGAAGTACTCAAACGTCGTCGTCGTCATACACTCTGTCGGACCAATCGTCGTTGACTCGTGGATCGATCTCCCCAGCGTCAAGTCCGTCCTGGTCGCCCATCTCCCCGGCCAGGAGGCAGGCGAGTCGCTCGCCAACATCGTCTTCGGCGCCGCCTCCCCCTCCGGCCACCTCCCCTACAGCATGACCAAAAAGGAATCCGACCTCCCAGACTCTGTGACCCAGCTCGTCGGTGGCTCCCTCGGCCAGCCCCAGGATACCTATTCCGAGGGTCTGTACATCGACTACCGCTACCTCAACAAGAACGGAATCAAGCCGCGCTTCGCCTTTGGCCATGGGCTCAGCTACACCGCCTTCTCCTATACCGGCGCGACCATCAGCTCCGCGACGGCGCTCACCGCGTCTCCGCCGGCCCGCCCCGCGAAACAGGGCATTCTGACGTACACCGCGCCCATCCCCGACTGGACCGAGGGCGTCGCGCCGTCCGGCTTCAACAAGATCTTCCGCTACATTTACTCCTGGTGCACCGAGTCCGAGGCCAAGGACGCCATCGCCGCCTCCAAGACGGAGACGTATCCCTACCCGGAGGGGTACAGCACCACGCAGAAACCGGGGCCCCCGGCCGGCGGCGCGCAGGGCGGCAACCCCGCCCTCTTTGACGTTGTATTTTCCGTGTCGGTCAAGGTGACCAACACGGGCTCCAAGTACTCGGGTAAGGCCTCCGCGCAGGCCTACGTGCAGTTCCCTGGTGGCGGGCCCGAGACGCCGGTGATCCAGCTGCGCGACTTTGTCAAGACGAAGAGCCTGGCGCCGGGGGAGAGTGCCACCGTGACGCTGCAGCTAACGAGGCGGGATTTGAGTGTGTGGGATGTTGTCAGCCAGAACTGGGTTGTGCCGAATCCCTCCGGGCGGTATAAGATTTGGATCGGGGAGGCGAGTGACAAGTTATTTTTGGCGTGTTATACGGATACCAAGACGTGTGAGGGTGGGCTGGCTAGCCCGGTTTGATTTTGTCCTTGTCCATAGTTATTCTTCTGAACTCTCCTTAAGGCTATTGATGTGACAGGGGTGGATGATTTTTGTCAACCGTCAGCGAACAGGACGGTAGAATCGAGTTTCCCGTAGAACGAGCGGCGTCAATGGTGACTGTCGTCGAATAGTCAACTTTTCGGGTTTGATTACGGTAGTCTCGCTGAAGTAATACAGGGTGGTATCTCTCAATAGTAAAGCAAAAGCAGCTCCCAGACCTGTGCCTGATCCAACACAAGCATCAACCAACTCTCAACTCAGCATCATGACCATACCATTCTTGATAGCGTCAATATCCTTCTTCCCAAGCGGATCCTTCTTACTAAAAGCATGCTGCTTCCGCTTCGCAGGTGTCCACGACGTGATATCCAAATCATCCCCGCCAATCCTCCTCCCCCTCTTGTACGACGCCAGCGCGTCCGCCCATCCCCAGGGGTCCTCGCCGTGTTCCTCGGCGTTGGGCAGCTCTTCCTCCCCATCATCGAGACTGTCAACGAGAGCTTTCAGCCCCGTGACCCCCTTGAGCGTGATGCCGTGCTTCTTGGCGTACGCGGCGACGTAGCTGTCGAATTTCTCCGCCGTGAAGGGAAAGGGACGCTTTTTGGACTTTTTGTGGACGGTCTCGTCTTGCAAAAGGTCGAAGCCGCGGAAGGCGGAGGCGACTTTGAGCATGCCGGCCATGACGCAGCCAAGGTCCTTTACTTCTGAGTCCGGGGTGAGGACGCCCTCGCGCTCGAGGCGAGCCAGGGTTGTGAGGAAGAGGTTGCCGATGAGTTTTGCTGTTTCGTCGACGAACTCGCCGTTGTCGGCCCTGGAAATACGTCAGTAACTTCATTTCGACAGAAAGAGAGAGGGAGTTCGAGAGAGTCATTGACAGTAGACTTACATGGCAAAGTCACCACCATTCAGGTACCAAATAAACGGGCACAGCGCCTCGCAGATGACCCACTGCTCCCGCCAGTTCCCTTTTGCCTCCTCATAGTCGAGGACGAGGTTCTGCAGCACCTGCAGCACGCCGTAGGCCATGTGGTCGTTGTACGTGTACATGCGGAAGCTGTCCGGGTCGCGGATCTGGCAATGGATCTGCTGGTTCATGAGCTTGCGCCCCTCGTCAGGAACATAATTCCTTCACTCTCGGCATGGAGAACCACTGGCTCGACCTAAACTTTGCAGACACTTGCATGGAAATGACTGTTGGGTGCTTGCAACGGCCTGCGCAATGCCGAAGATGTCAACGGCTAGCGAGCAGCCTCACGAGGCCCTGCAAGCGATTCCCGCAGAATTCAACGAATTCCCTGAAACCCACTGGTTGAGTTGTTGTACATTGGCTTCATATTGATACATATTGAACACTACCTCTCGCAGAGGCTCTAACGTTGGAGTCTTTCGTCAGCCCGACTTTGGCCACGCCCAATCTTGGCCACACCATCCCTGAGAACTCTGCCTGGGGTGATCGTACCCTTCTCTCCTCATCTGCAGCAATGCCGTCTGGTCCTTTCCACGGTTCTCGTAGCTCTATCCCCCCACGGTACACTCAAACGCCCAACTTTGTGCGGCCCTTCTGGCGCCTCCGTGCAACAATCTTGCGTCCGTCCTTGGTCTTCATGCGGGAAACAAAGCCGTGTCTGCGCTTCTGGATCAGGCGGGTGTTGCGGTTCATCGTGTTGCGAGGGCCGCAGCGAAGCTGCATGGCACCCAGGGCAGGGTGCTCGGTGATGGCGCTTGTGGGAACCAGGTCGGCGATGGCGCCATCAACAGTCGAGGGCGTGAACGGCGTAGCATTCGGCCGGCGGAAGGCGGATGTGAGGGGTGTGATGGATGGACGCAGCGAGGGGAGGGAGGAGAACGTCCTATGGTGCTGGTTAGCTATCTTCACCTCTACTGCGAAGGGGCTGAGGCACACCTTTGCGATGTCGATTGGATGGCGACGCGCACCGGCTGAGTAGCCGAGCGGGCGAGGAAAGCCCTCGCCAGGCCTGTGATGGATTGACGCATCATCTTGGCGGCAATCGTGTGGTTGTCGTCGAGCGGCGTGGAGCTCAAAGTGACCCTATCGACAACTTCGAGATTTTGCTGGAAGACTTTCCTGCAATCCAACGGCACTTCCCGTCGCTCATGCACCAAACGGGGTTCCACCGTTCGGACGGGGCTTCAACTGCACGCAAGACATTGCATGAGGCGGGTGTTTCAGCCAATTAAAGTTGGGGTAAGCTGGCGTCCTCGCAGCCAATGATCGACCCTGCCGGCAGCCGCAAGCCCCGAATCGCACCAGCCCGCCCCCACTTGGTCCCATTCGCCGGTTCACTGTGGACAGCTTGCCTGAGCTAACAATACTCCGTACCCAAGCACAAGCTGTCAGACCCAGCTTGCGACAAGGTCCGGAGCCTGCTTCTTCCATCTCCAATCCCATATATTCCATTCTTGTCCCTCCTTTGCAACCCCTCCGGAATCCGAAGAAAAGCAAAGAGAGGCCAAAATGGATTTCCTTCAACGCCTCGCGCGGTTCTTGGACCGACCCCTCTTCCCATGGAAGCGTCTCATCCTCGGCTTCTCGGTCGGCCAGTTCGTCTTTGAGAGCTTCCTCTCGCTCCGCCAGTACCAGGTCCTCAAAAACACCAAGCCCCCCAAGGTTCTCGAACAGGAAGTCTCCCAGGAAGTTTTCGACAAGTCCCAAGCCTATGGTCGCGCCAAAGCGGAATTCGGTTTCATCAGCGGTCTCTGGGGTCAGATCCAGAACATTGCCTTTATCCAATTCGACGTCCTCCCCAAGCTCTGGTCATGGTCCGGTCACCTGCTGCTGAAGTTCGCGCCGGCGCGCTTCACCGGGGAGATCTCCCAGTCAATCGTCTTCGTCCTCGCCTTTATCATGATCCAGCAGGTGCTCTCGCTGCCCAGCTCCATCTACCAGACCTTTGTGCTGGAGGAGAAGTTTGGCTTCAACAAGCAAACGCCCAAGCTCTTCATCACCGACATGATCAAGTCTCAGCTCCTCGCCTTTGTCCTCGCTCCCCCGATCCTCGCTAGCTTCCTCTCCATTGTCAAGAAGACGGGCAACCAGTTCTTCTTCTACCTCTGGGCCTTCGCCGCCGGTCTTCAAGTGTTCATGATCACAATCTACCCGGTCGCCATCCTGCCTCTGTTCAACAAGCTGTCGCCTTTGGAAGAGGGCGAGCTGAAGAACGGCGTCGAGAGCCTTGCCAAGAGCCTGAACTTTCCCCTCCACGAGCTCTATGTGATTGACGGAAGCAAGCGCAGCGCCCACAGCAACGCCTACTTTTTCGGTCTCCCCTGGAAGAAGCACATTGTCATCTACGATACCCTTATTGAGAAGAGTGAGACGCAGGAGGTTGTTGCCGTTCTGGCCCACGAGCTTGGTCACTGGAGTCTCGGCCACACCACGCGCCTCTTTGGCATCTCTCAGGTATGTCTTTGCGGTCAAGCAGCGCAACATCGTCCACTAACAGCGATAGGCCCACTTCCTCTACATCTTTGCCCTCTTCTCCGTCTTCATCAGCAACAACTCCCTGTACGCCGACTTTGGTTTCCTCACGGAGCACCCCATCATCATCGGCTTCATCCTCTTCTCCGATGCGCTCTCCCCCATGGACACCGTCGTCAAGCTGCTCATGAACATCCTGAGCCGCAAGTACGAGTTCCAGGCCGACGCGTTTGCCCAGAAGCTCGGATACTCGGCTGAGCTGGCTAGATCCCTCCTCAAGCTCCAGATCCAGAACCTCAGCTCCATGGACGCCGACTGGATGTACGCGACCTACCACTTCTCCCACCCGCACCTGTCGGAGCGCCTCAATGCGCTCAACTGGAAGTCCACGGGCAAGGTCACATCGGAGGAACCCACCGTGGGCAAGGCCTCTGGAAGAGACGAGTTGTAAAGGGGAAGATAGTTGAATAGAGTGCTTGCGTCTTTGAAGAGCATTTTCGGAGTTCACACTCCGCAGACATATTTGTATTACTACTAGGCCACCCAGCGAACAGGGATGGTGACTCCTCGAGTCACGGAAGCAAATGGAATAAATCGTTTTACGCAGTAGAAGCAAAACTGGGCCAAGTTTCCCTCCCACAGAGACAGCTCACCTCCTCGGGGCTCTCATGTTGGCCAACACACGTGCCAACAGCTCCTCTCGCGTGTCGTTGTCCTGCGGAAACAGGTTTCGCTATGATACATGTAAGTAAACAATGACGGAGACGGAGAACAGAGCTGCAAATACCGCCGCAAGCCACCTCCTCATCTCCTCTCTGGTCCAGTCCTCGGGGTTACCTGTGGGATCCGGCCCCGCGGGGAACATGTCGCCGCCGTAGATGGCCCATACAGCTACCGCCGTGACCAAGCCGCCGAACGCTAGTAAATGGTCAGCAATTAGGTCTTTGTGTGCGATTGTATGTTGCTTTACCGAGTACGGCATTCTAAGGAAGTATTAGCAGAGCGACTAAATGCAATCGTGGTGGCAGATACGGACCCTGGATCTCATGGCATTGTCGAGGGGTGTAGGCATCTTGTGTAGATGTGGCGGTGCAGTGACAATGTCGTCTTGTGCAACTGATGGCTAGAACCTCAGGTTTTCAACGCTGCGAACAGGAGCACAAAGAGTACCAAATATAAGGTATGCAAAAGTCCCAGGACACCTTTGGTAACGTGTTATGTGACGTGTTCGTTTACAAACTGGATTGAGTTGAAGCGTCGTCAACCCATGCGCAAGGAAAGGTACAGGCCGAGAGTCTGATCCCAGCGCCACGTCTACCCCGAAAGCTTTCGGGGTGTGTGTGTGTGACGCGTGCCACAGTGACGTCCCATCTGAAATGGGTGGCCAGCTGCTGCCTGTGGCTGTGGAGGAACCTGGAAATCCGTGGGACCCGACGGGACCCGACTCCGCTCCTCGGTGTGATCGGTGACCATCCCCACCCGGCGACCTCAGTTCCAGCCCACCCCGATAAGATAAGGTCGGGACCTCGCGAGATGCATGCAAGTCGAGTCTCTCCCCTCCCCGGCCGAGTACTCGAGCTGGCCCGTGCGTTTCGCTGCCACAGGGGTCCATCCCACAAAATCAATTTTCCATCCAAAAAAGCCCACGAAAGTCTCACGACAGCAACCACTCAATCCGACCAGACAAGACCCCCCTCCGTTGTCGCCAATCCCCCCCGAAAAATACCGCCAAGATGCCTCGCGAAATCGGTGATATCAAGCAGGTACGTTGTTGGAATCTGCAGTCGCTGTTGAACTGCTGTTCATTGGGGAAAAAAAAACCCCCGGGAGAAATTGACTAACAATTGCTGTTTTTAGTTCATTGAGATTGCCCGGAGAAAGGACGCTTCCTGTATGCCATAACCTGAATCCCTTCCTCCTACCACACACCCGACGAAGCTTCGAACGATTATTCAATGAGAAGAGAAACTTCGAATTTCGAACGTAGAAAGACACAGAGAAGGAACCGCATTTCTAACGTGTATCGAAATTATAGCCGCTCGCATCAAGAAGAGCACCAAGAACTCCCAGATCAAGTTCAAGGTCCGCTGCCAGCGCCACCTCTACACCCTCGTCCTCAAGGACTCCGACAAGGCCGAGAAGCTCAAGCAGTCCCTCCCCCCTCGTACGTTTTGATCCCTCCTACACTGTCCCCCGGCGCAGCTTTCTCTCTCTCTCCCCCGAGTCTCTTCTTTCGAGGAAGGGCCTCGTGCGCTGTCGAGGACTACGGAAAGGAGAAACTGCAGACGGGAACTACTAGCAGATCAGAAAAGATTATGCTAACCACGATTCCTCCCACAGAGCTCCAGATCAAGGACGTCCCCAAGAAGAACCCCAAGGGCAAGTCCTCCGCATAAGGGATTCCCGTAAAAACGTCTCGAAACAAAAATCGTCAAAAAAACTTTGAGCTTCGATGGGGATATAAAAGCATGAGTACGGATAGCCTGTCATGAGGTCAATGGAATGAAATTTTGACTCGTTCCCCCACCTGGGTTCTGTGTTTTTTCGTGGGGCTATTGGCCGGTCGGTCTATTTGGGGAAAATGAGGTTTTGAAAGCGCAGTGTTTTGTTTTCTCTCGGTCCTGTACCTGCAATGATACGGGAACGGGGAAGGCAACCTGCGTGACCACATAACATGGCGTCGAGGAATATCACCTAGGCAATTTGCGAGATGAGATGGAGACTGTGTCAACGTTTGTTGCTAGTCAGACATTTCCCGCCAACGAAGAAACCATTGAACACAAAAAGACTGCCACCACCCGTGTCCCCATCTTTCTCCAACGGCTATGCTCCTCTCTTGCAAACCGGACAGAGCCAACAACACCCTTGAAGGCCATCTATCATCTAAACGCCAAAGGCTCCGTGTCTCTGGTTTATTGACGTGGGTACCGTCATAGGCACCTCACATGAGCCGCTTGTAGTGCCAAATGTCCGTCCCCGTCACAAACTCCTGAATGCCAGCCCATTCCTTGAACCCCTCGTGCTCCGCGATCGCCTTGTGCTGTTCCACCGTCTCCCAGCCGCAGTACATGACATACTCCTCGAGGTCCTCGGCGGCTTTCTCAATCCGCCAACCGCCGCGGACGGGAAACGGCTTCGACGACTCCTCGACGACCCACTTAGCCTCGGCGTACTTCTTTACAAACTCCGCCTTCTTCTCCGACTTCACCCCAAACCGCCCGACGCTGAGCACCGGCGCCGTTAGGAGGGATGGCGGCTCGTCTTGCGCCTTCTTCTTGCCCTCTGCCTTGCTCTCTTCCTCGGGTACCGGCGCTTCCGGTTGCTTACCCTTGGAGTCCGTCTCCGCTTCCGCAGCCCCCTCCTTCGTCTCTGACGGTGCTGATACAGGCTTCGCAAAGATGGGCGCGTCAATGTGAAAGAATAGCACGCTTCGTGGGCCCTCGATGTGAATGTGCGGCATCAACTTGGCCATGACGTTCTGGTTCTCGGGTGACGCGATCCACTCCCCATGCGCCTGCGGCGAATCCCACTGCGCCGCCAGGAGTACCACCGTCGGATCCTCTACCTGCTGGAGGATGGCGGTGCCGCGCTCTATCCGGGTCGGCGGCAGGCCGGGCTTCTGGCGCAGAACCCAGGTGTCCTGAACGGTCTGGCAGTAGTCCATGAGCTCCTTGACCTCCTCGGTGAGGGGCTCCTTGAATTGGAGAAGGGCGAGCTCCGTCACGGCCATCGCTGCGAGCTTGTTCGATTTTGACGGCGAGGGCGAGGGCAACTTTGGTATCTTCTGCAGATAGAAATATCGAGTTGAAGACGGCAATTCCGGGGTTCGCGGGTCAGCGGGAAGCTCTTCGCGCGGGGTTCGGTGCGGGCCGGGGGATAGTACAAAGGTACTTTGGAGCTTTGAGCATGAAGATCAGGGGAAGACCTCTCTTTGTCGAGATGATGTCTCGGGAAGATTCTCAGGCCTTGCCAAAGTCTTTGTGTTTTCTATTCGCTCAGATCAACATCGGAGCATCTGAGGAGATAATAGAGTATGAAATCCACATGGCGGGGCAGCGAGGCTGCAGGATGATACCGATGCAGGAGGAGTGACGCTGACGCCCGGCGAGTAGCGGCACAGACACGCCGGTCCTAGGTTAGTGTAGGAGCCGGTAGCTTAGTGATAGGCTCAATTGTGTGACAGCCTAAAGCTGATATGCATTGTTCATCCGTCTGAAGCGGCCAAGCAAGCTTGAACTTCCCCCCAATGCTTTGGCTCTCTTGGACGTTTACCCCGCCGCCGTTGCAGTATTTCCTTCGTGGATTATACTTTTGCCCATTGTGTGGCAAGCGAAGGTCCCAAGTCTTTGATAGCTCTACGCAAGGTTGCAAGCCGTTACGTGAGCTAAGTCGTAATACGAAAAAGTCGGCTCCCATGGCACGTTGATGTGGCCAGGCACTGGCTAAGTCGTCATCTCGTGGCTTGTTCGGAACGTCCACCTAGTGCATTGAAGTTCTTGGTTTCTAGGTCACCTCTGGGATCTAAGAATCGCAGAGTAGAGGCGGTCCTTGAGCCAGAAAACATATCCCTGACAATGCTCCATGCGAAGTCATCTGCAGCGGTGTCATTCCTCGGTATATGTTACCGCTAACGTAGAATGCAGCCGTGATTTTTCAGATTGCGCGGTTGGAGCATCGTCAAGACGAGAACATCATCGACCTCTGTTTCTGCCAAGCGGTTGCTTGTTTCTGGCTATCGTGCTCGGCGATCGACAAGTCTCCCCAGGTGAGGAGACAGACCCGCAGATGCACTGCGCAGCCTGCGCCTCGGTGGTCAAGCTGAAAGCTCCCCGGCACGCTCGGCGAGGGATCTAACGGCAAGGTATCGATAAGCCAACCTTCGTGTTCGCGGCATCCACTGCCTGTCGGCAAGCGTTCATGTCTGGCGCAAAACGGTGCTCCAGGTACGGCCGCCGCTGCACTTCCCAATGAGCCTCACGAGAGCTGGCATCGAGATAGTTGACTTGAGCCTCCTCGATATGATGCGGCGATGCAGCCCATTTCCCAATCCGAGACACGGAGCTGCCAAACGGTGAGGGTGTCACGCATTGGGAAGACAGGAGGGCTTTGTGTGACGGGTTGTCGTGCCCCTTGGCACCTGTTCTCCCTTTCCCCTAATATTGTAACTGCTGCGATGCCTCACCGCCTCGAGTCTCGGTTCTTTCTCTGTGTCATCCACGATGCAATCTCTTTGTTATTGGCTGGGTGAACGCATATCGAGTCCGTGATCGGTGGTGTTGGTCGCATCGGACTGCCCATGTCGGTCAGAGGCTCTTGGCCGGGGTAAACTGCCTAGACGGACGCCCTTGGAGCAGATCGGTACTACCACAGCCCCTACCACGAACGAGTAGAGGCATCAGACGAAACGACGCTCAATCGCCCTAATGGCGACATAATTGGCGATTTAGGGGTCGTCGCCCAGTAGGCGTACCAGTTTTCTGGCATTTCCGGGCTGTTGTGCCGTCGTAAGCTCCGCGCCGCAACCCAAAGCTTCTCCGCGGTGGCTTGGAGACGCCGATAGCTGTTGCCTGCAAGACTGGTTTGCTTGTGGTGCTGTTGGTGACTGCTGGTGTTGAACTGCGAGGCTTTGTTGCTTCGCATCGCATTTAATGGAAGACATAGGAGACACTCGGTACAATTACGAGCAATAGAGGTACCATGCAGCCGGTCAGCATCGAATCGAAGCCTTGAAAGAAGAGTCGATTCAGCTGCTGTTTGGAACCAGTGAGGTCGAAGTTCGAGAGCTCCAAGCTGTCAGCTTCGCATGCGAAACGTCAGTCTCGAGCAGCTGGGCGTTGGATGTGGCGCTGTCAAAGGCTCCCGTTCCCAACTTGGTGTGTTCAAGTCGTGTCCCCCACCATCAGGGCTGTGCAAGAGATGCAGGTAAGAAGTGCCCGTGGAAGGGAATGTACTTTTCCCAATACTGCCTGCCATTTTGTTGCAAAGTACCACAGACTAGTGCAAGGCAAGAAGCAGGTCGCCATTGATGGCCGCCCTCCTTCCACCGTTCCACGGATTCCACCTGCAGCAACCCCTGTCAAGGCAATCGGGTGCTTGCCGGGAAACTGCCCACCAGGCCGGGAACAAGTTCAGTCATCAGGGGATAGACGAGAGAGCGAGCCAATGGAGGAGCGCAGCCGTCATGTTGGCACGGCGAGGTGCCGCGAGAAAGCAAGGTACCAAGTATAGGCCATTCGACGGTATGTTCCCTGGCTGTGTTGTGTCGGAACCCAAGTAGCATTATTGATGACAAGTAAGCGTAATGACTGCCAGGCATCATCATCAATAGCCGTCACGCGCCAGACGGCAGCATAGCCCTTACTGTGGAAGGCTAGCAACTTACCAAGTATCCATACATGCTTACGTTTCAAGGACATCATCGTGCTTCTCCCGGAGCTGCGTTTCGTCCCAAGTCCCAACAAGACCTGCATCGCGCATTTGGCCCAATGAGCCACGAGGTTCCTACCTAGGCATGGGCGTGGGCTTCCATTAGTTCCATCGAATCGACCCTTGGAGCTTCCAAAAGTTTTTCTTGCGGCTGGACAATCAACCGCCACGGGATCTGGAAACATTCCACCCCCGGACTGGGACCCCCGTTCTCCCGCATGGCATCTAAATCAAGTCTCAATTGCGATACCTACCGTCTTTCCTCTCCGTTCTTCCTAAGCATGAGGGAGACCATGAGCCCCCCTAGAGCGGGTGTCTAGGCAACCTAACGGAGCAGGTCTGAATCAACCACACCCCAGTGTCCGTCTGTCATGATACAGTTTTCTCGCCAAGTAGTTACCATCCATCACGAAGAAAGTATCCCATAGGCACGCTACCTTGCTTGCCCTTACAGGCTTACCCCTTTGGTGATCGTCTTTCCCCATGTTTCCTGTCTAATACCTAATGACGGACCCAGCTACCTCGCTCCGTGACCCGTCGAGTCTCCTTGTCCTTGTCCATGTCGAGCTCCAGCAGCTGCGCAACCACGTTGTCCAATTTGCGGCTTGCCCATCCACCACCCCCCGGAACCTGGGAAAGCTAAATTGCCTAACTGAATCCAGCGTCCCATTCTCTCGTCCTCTAATAAAAGTCCTTGGATTACTGTATTACCAACGACCTAGGCCACTCTTTCTCCTGGAGTCTTGCATCCATCCTACTGTCTCTCTTCTCACCACCTACTCACGCGCCGCTGATCGTCACCCGCTTCCGCTTCCGCCTCTCTTCTCTCACACTCTCTCCCAACAACTTTTTTTCTGCTTCACCACCCTCTCTCGCCCTCTCTGCCTCTCGCTCTTCACCAATTGCGCCAGCAACCCACAAACCTCTTCAAGCCTTCTGTCGCGACCCATCTTGCAGCCATTGTCTCGATTCGCTCCGCTACCGCTGCTACCCACCAATTGACCCCTCACAGCACCACCCATTCGGCACCCCCTAGACGACCCTGACAGTTGGGCTACCTATGCGCTGCCTTTAGTACGGCCCTCGAACAACTGCACGATACCGACAACCTCTGTCTGCTTCTTTCGCGTACCTTGGCTTTTGACTATCTGCACCACCGAGCAACGCGTCACATGGCTGTCTTTGCACCAGAAACGCGAAACGGGGCTGACAGCATTGCCATCAATGGCATACCACCCGCCGCGTATGTAAATGGCAACGGCAACCTGGCGCATCGTCTCAAAATGGAACGCAAACAGTCCTCGCCCATGATGCCGGCTTTCATGGTCTCGGCACCAGGAAAGGTCATCGTTTTTGGAGAGCACGCCGTCGTTCACGGCAAGGTACGTTTGCGCCCAAAAAACCCCTTTTTTTCCCTGCATCAATCTGGCCTATGTTCTGACTGACCCACGTCCGACCAACAGGCCGCAATCGCCGCTGCCATCTCGTTGCGATCATACCTCCTCGTCACCTCTCTCTCCAAGTCGAGGAGAACAGTTTCGCTCCGTTTCCCAGATATCGACCTGCAACACACATGGAACATCGACGACCTGCCGTGGGCCACCTTCCAGCACCCTTCAAAGAAGAAGTCCTACTACGACCTTGTGACGGAGCTTGACCCGGATCTGGTTGCAGCCATCCAACCAAACCTCGCAGAAATATCACCACACAAATCTGACCAAGTACGAAAAGTCCACCAAAACTCGGCCTCGGCCTTCTTGTACATCTTCCTGTCGCTTGGCCACCAGTCTTTCACGGGATGCCTTTACACTTTACGATCAACGATTCCCATTGGTGCTGGTCTGGGTAGTAGTGCGTCGATCGCCGTCTGCCTGGCAGCGGCTCTTCTCCTGCAGCTGCGCACATTGTCAGGCCCTCACCCAGATCAGCCCCCTGACGAGGCTAGGTTGCAAGTGGAGAGAATCAACCGGTGGGCGTTTGTCTGCGAGATGTGCATACACGGCAACCCTTCAGGTGTCGACAACACCGTTTCAACCCAAGGCAAGGCTGTGGTCTTCCAACGGACAAATTACAGCAAACCCCCGGCCGTGCGACCTCTCTGGGATTTCCCCGAGCTCCCCCTTCTCCTCGTCGACACAAAGCAGGCCAAGTCGACGGCTTTCGAAGTGGCCAAGGTCGGCAAGCTCAAGAAGACGCACCCGGAGCTAGTTGGCAGTATCCTAGACGCCATCGACAAGGTCACGGTTGCGGCAGACACTCTGATCGGAAATGAATCATTCGACAACGAGGAGGAAGAAAGTCTACGGAAGGTGGGAGAGCTGATGACAATCAACCACGGATTGCTCGTCTCTTTGGGGGTGTCCCACCCGCGTCTGGAGCGGATAAGAGAGCTGGTGGATCACGAAGGCATTGGGTGGACGAAGCTGACCGGCGCTGGCGGCGGCGGTTGCTCCATCACTCTGCTGAAGCCCGATGTGCCCAAGGACAAGCTTAACCGGCTGGAATCTCAACTGGAGGACGAAGGCTACGAAAAATTCGAAACAACCCTTGGCGGTGACGGCGTTGGTGTGCTCTGGCCGGCAGTCCTTAAGAACGGAATGGACGAAGACAATGAAGGAGGCATGGAAATCGACCAAGAGAGCTTCCTGAATGCCGAAGGTAACGAGGGTGTCGAGAAGTTGGTCGGCGTTCACGGGGGCGTAGGCGAGCGAGAAGGCTGGAAGTTCTGGCGAGTCGAGAGCCATTGATGAGGTTGCTACAAACTTCAATCCGCTTCTACACTACCTTTTTTTTTCTCAACCAGCCGTGCCATGGCGCAAGGCTGAGAAGATTTACTGGCTACATTGGGTTATTTGCCATACGACATGATAATACGAGGAGGAGAAGGGAACAGTTTTGGGTGCAGCTTCATGTATCTATTTTTAATCGGCGCCGAGAGCTTAGAAGTCCACCTTGCGGTGCTAAAATTAATGCTTTGTTGATTGACACTGTCGCACGAGGGATGCATACTCAATTGCAATTGTCTTGAATCTGGCGGTAGTTTTTCCAACTGAAATATGTCTTGGACAAAATCCGGTGTCGAAAAGTCCAGGGTGCATCTTCCCGTAGTGGGGTATCGGCCGTTGGAGAGCATTTTCCACAGCCCAAAGACAGTCTGATCTCGGCTGGCCAGCTCAACCCCGCCATAACTCAAAGCCAACCGCAGACATGCCCGCCAAATCAAAGGTCAGCTCCAAAGCCAAGGAAGCTGAGGGCAAGAGTACGTTGGCATCAGCCGTATTCCTCTTCGTCGGATCATACAGCTCCTCTCTCTGGACCCTGCTCGTCGCTCACTACCTCTGGTTCCGAGCTTTCTTCCTCCTTCCGCATCCGCATGCTGACTTAGGCTCTCCCGACACAGGCAAGCAAACACCATCATCATCATCCTCCACTGCCGCCGCAGCTCAAGAACCACCAAAGACGGTCAACGAGCGCTCCCTCCACCGCTTCTACCAGACAAACCCGCACGAGCGAAAGCGAGAAGAGGCCGGCGGACTCCACAGTCTGACACCCGCGGAGCGACAGGCCTGGGTCAACGCGAGCCTCGTACGCCGCGTGGCGAGCAAGGAGATTTGTCTCAACAACAAGGCGGAGCGCGAATTCTGGAAACAGGTCAACCGTGAGAGCCCGCCCATCCGCCGCCTCGACCGGCAAAAGACGCAGGCGGACAAGAGTACCGGTACCGGTACCGCAGCCGTCGTCTACGACTGGGGCAGGGACAAGAACGGCCGCGACGTGGGCGAGTACCCCCTCGAGCAGTTCGCCGCGCGCGCCGCCAAGCAGGCCCAGCTCACCGCGCTCGAGGTCCTGCACAGGAGGTTCCTTCAGCGGAGGGAATTTGCGAGCGCCGAAGTCACGGACGCCGCCACGGGAAAAGTCGAGGAGATTACGAAAGAGGATATCCAGGAGGAGACGCAGAGGCGGAGAGAGATGTCGGCCATTAGGAAGGAGCTTTACGGCGACAAGATGGGGCCCTACGCGACGGACCCGGAGTGGGACGACGTCATGCCGATTCCCGCTGAGGAGCCCGAGGGCGCGCTGGCTACGATTGCTTATCCGGAGGACTATGCCGAGGGTAAATAATTCAACTCTTTATGTCTGAAACTTTAGGCTTCAAGTTGCTATTGTGTTTGGGCGCTGACACCGCGTGTCTTCCAGTCATGAGCTACCTTCGCGCCGTCATGGTATCCGAGGAATATAGCCCGCGATGCCTCCGCCTCACGGAGCACGTCATCTCCATGAACCCGGCGCACTACACCGTCTGGCTGTACCGCTTCAAGATCGTCCGGGCCCTCGAGACCCCGCTCGCCGACGAGATCGAGTGGCTCAACGAGGTCTCGCTCGAGCACATCAAGAACTACCAGATCTGGCACCACCGGCAGCTGCTGCTGGACCACTACTACGAGGGCATCAAGGCGACGCCCGACGAGGTGAAGCGCTTCGGCCGGTCCGAGACGGAGTTCCTCACGCGCATGCTCGAGGAGGACACGAAAAACTACCACGTCTGGAGCTACAGGCAGTACCTGGTGCGCAAGCTGGGGCTGTGGAATCTGCAGGAGCTGCTGTCGACGCAGAACTGGATCGAGGAGGACGTGCGCAACAACTCGGCGTGGTCGCACCGCTTCTTCCTCGTCTTTAGCGACCCGGCCAACTCTACAGAGGGTTCGCACGCGACGGAGCACGATCCCAAGGTGCCCGCCGACGTGGTCGATCGCGAGGTCCGGTACGTCGAGGAGAAGACGCTGCTGGCGCCGCAGAACCAGGCGGCGTGGAATTACCTGCGCGGCGTGCTGGTCAAGGGCGGGCGCAAGCTCGAGACGGCCGAGGCGTTTGCGGGGCAGTTTGTCAAGAATGTCGGCGCGGAGGAAGAGGAAGAGGTGCGCAGCAGCCACGCGCTGGATTTCTTGGCCGAGGTGTTGGCGGAGAAGGGGCAGAAGGAGGAGGCGGCCAAGTATCTGGACCGGTTGGCGGCCAAGTGGGATCCTGTGAGGGCGGGATACTGGAAGTACCGCAAGCAGCAGCTTGGGGCGTGAATTTTGCATTGCTATCGACGTTGCTGTTTCTATGAATCGAGACACCCCTTTTTCATCGTGCGCAGATGCATCAAGTCGGGCCTCCTATATATCCCATCGAGCTTCTGCTTGCTGTCCCATGTCGAATTCATTCTGTCTCCGAGTCAGTAGGCGAACAAAGAAGAGTAGAAAAGGTAAGGCTCACCTCTGTCGTGTGTGGTATAGGACACGTCGTGTCGCTCGTCATCGTCGCTCTCGCTTTTATAATCCCAAAAGACCCATTCCATGCTCCCCCCCATTTCACAGCGCGCGAAAGTTCTGGCTCATAATCAACCACCGCCTCGCGCCCCTCGGCGGATTCTTGCCAAACGTATCCCAGTTCGGCACCAGCACAAACACCTCGTTGAACGTCTTTGCGGGAGCATCCCGGCCTCTGCCGTAGTGTACCCTGCCGGTGACCTGCGCCATGATGCTGCACTTTGCGCCTTTCTCGTCGCCCTTCTGCAGGTGCTCGGGGCACCCTAGCGAAAAATCGCTGTTGACAACGTGGGCGTCGAGGGACTCGACCTCGTGGTGGACGTCAGCGCCCTGCGCGTCCAGCAAGGCGACGTACTCGTCGGGACCGCCCTGGAGGACGGCGCCGTTGATGGAGATGTCGGGCGGGGAAGGGTATTTGGAGCAGCAGGTTGTGTAGAACTTTTCGAGGGTGCCGCCTTGTTTGCGGCGGTTGAGGGCTTCGTAGTAGGCGTCTGCGAAGTTTGAGGCCGCTGGGGATGTGTGTGTTAGTTCTATCGTGAAGTAGAGAGTGGGTTTGGTGGGGGTCGGTTGGAAATACCGTCAGCCGAGGCCCTCATTTCTGTTTCACGAGAGGGGAGAGACATGATTGCAGTGTTCTTTTCGTGTGCTGCAATCCAAGTTGTGTTGAAGGAGGAAAATTGGGAATGGTATTGTGTACTCGGCGGTGTTGTCGCAACAATGCAAGTGTTGAAAGGACTCGGGAAGAAGTTTGGCGGGGCAGGACAGGGATCGCGCGCCGATAAGAGCTCTGGGCCGTTATCGACAAACACAATCCGTACGGTGCACTTGGAGCGAGGAACACTGCAAGCTTTCGATTCATCACGCAACCTGCTCATCCCAACTATCGACGGCATGCTTCTTAGGCGGAAGGCTCGCCAACAACAGGCTCAATGAGACCAGCAAGGCTATCGACAGCTTCGGCGTTCCGCAGCCGCCGCCATGTCCCGGCGATGCGATCGCCCTGGGTCTGCCCCTCGTGCACCCACGGGCAGACATCGCGACGCCGTTTTGCGAGCTCCGACAGCAAGGGCGACAAGCCGTACTACGTGACAACGCCCATCTTTTACGTCAATGCATGTACGTATAGAGTATCCATGAATCGCTTTGAAGGAATCGAAACAAGCTAACATATCGACTCTAAAAGCACCACACGTCGGCCACATGTACTCGATGCTCCTGGCAGACGTCCTGAAGCGCTGGCAAGTCCTCAAGGGCCGGAACGCGATCCTCTGCACCGGCACGGACGAGCACGGCTCCAAGGTCCAGCAAGCGGCGGCGAAGCAAGGCGTGCCGGCCAAGGAGTTTTGCGACACGACGGCCGAGAAGTTCCGCGACCTGGCAAAGGCCATCGGCATGGCCAACGATCACTTCATCCGCACGACGGATCAGGACCACAAGGAGGCAGTGCAGCACTTTTGGCACCTGCTCAAGGAGAAGAGGTTCATTTACGAATCCAAGCATGAAGGGTGGTACTGCGTCAGCGACGAGTGCTTTTACGGCAACAACGAGATTGAGCGGCGGGTCGAGCCGCAGACGGGGCGGACCATTATGGCGGCCGTCGAGTCCGGGAACGAGGTGGAGTGGATCGAGGAGAAGAACTACCACTTCCGCATGACGGCGCTCAAGGAGAGGCTGCTCGCATTTTACGAGGCGAACCCGGACTGGATCGTGCCGAGGGCGCGGCAAAAGGAGGTGGTGGCGTGGGTGTCCAACAACCTCGAGGACCTCTCCATCTCGCGGCCGGTGCAGAGGCTGGACTGGGGTGTGCGGGTGCCCGACGACCCGACGCAGACCATTTACGTCTGGGTCGACGCGCTCATCAACTACATCACGAAAGCCGGGTTCCCGGGTTGGCGACCGGGCCGCGAGCACGAGGGCGGGTGGCCGGCGGACGTGCAGGTGATTGGCAAGGATATCGTGCGGTTCCACGGCGTGTATTGGCCGGCGCTGCTGATGGCGCTGGACCTGCCGCTGCCGAAGCAGCTGCTTAGCCACGCGCACTGGACGCTGGGGAAGAAGAAGATGTCAAAGTCGCTGGGCAACGTGGTGAACCCGTTCTTCGCGGTCGATCGGTGGGGTCTGGACACGATGCGGTACTTTATGATGCGCGACGGCGGGATCGAGAAGGATGCGGATTATGAGAACTCGCTCGTCATCGCAAGGTATCAGAAGGACTTGCAGTCGACGGTGGGGAACCTGATGAACCGCGTGGCCAAGAGCAAGAAGTGGAAGCTTCGGGACTCGGTGGTATGGGCGGCGGAGAAGAGCGGCGTGCCGACGAGTCACAAGGTTGAAGGTAGCGAGAGTTTAAAGGTGTTGGTTGACGGGATGGCGCCGACCATGTCGCAGCACATGGACGAGCTGAATCCTAACGCCGCCATTCGGAGCGTTCTCCACGTTCTGGCCGAGGTATGGACAAGCCTCAATGCACCAAGATTGACTTGCATGATTTAGTACTGACTCGGCGTGTCCAGGCAAACAAGTACATCTCCGCCGCGGAACCGTGGAAGCTGGCCAACTCGACGGACCCCGAGGTCCAGGCCGCGAAGCACGAGGTCATCTACTACGCTTCGGAAGCCGTCCGCTCCGCCGGCATCCTCCTGCAGCCGGTGATGCCGACCAAGATGGGTATGCTGCTTGACATGATGGGCGTCGAGGCTGGCAAGCGCCGTTTTAAGGATGCGGTGTTTGGCAAGGATTTGACGTACGGCACCCCTACGGTTGACTTGGGACGTCCCGGCGAGTTCAACAGCTTGTTTCCTCCCCAACCGGCTGAGAATTGAGTGGGGAGACGCTTTGGTCGGAACGCGATCTAAGAAGGGGACTTTGTGATTCTGTTGAATCTGATTGTCCCAGTGTAAATATGTATACTATCTCCGCTGTTGATGTCGAGTGTAAGATGGTGTGTAGATATTGCGTAATCCCACAAAACGGGGCTTCAAGGGCCCATGTCATCTAGAGTGCGATGGGGTTCTCCGGAAGATGAAACGTTTGCTTCAGTGACCATCTACATCTAAGATGCCTTCAACAGATTGCCTTGTGAGAGCGAGCTGTAAGATGTGGTCGAGAGGGCGTATATTCTAGGCCGTTGTTGCGCTCCTTGGGGCGCGGCGCTACTTGAGACAGCAGAGAGTGCAAATTCATCACAACAAGTCACTAGTCAAGGTGCCAGAGTGGTTAATGGGCTGCCCTGCTATCAAACCTTGATTCCAGATTAGGCAGTGGCTTCGGTCGCGCAGGTTCGAATCCTGTCCTTGACGCTATCGCGCATATCTTTTGCTTTTTGTAGGAATTTTCGTCTCCATTATATTCCCCGACGACTGAATTTTATTTATCCAACTTTTCTCGTTCAAAACTGCCGAATGGTTGTAGTTTCGCTGTTTGGTTCTACGTGGCAGCTATGGATGAGCTATCCAGAGTGGGGCCAGATTCTGAGCTTCCCCAAAGCAAGCACAGCTACAACGACTCTGGTGCAAAACCACTCACTCTCACATTCACACTTGTTGACAACTTGAAAAGTCTGGGAAAACGAAATCAAAAAAAAAAAAAAAAAAAAAAAAAAAAAAAAAGAGAGAACATCGTCAACGACAAGATTCGAACTTGCGCGACCGAAGCCACTGCCTCAACTGCTGGAACAGGACAAGTCCTGATGGATCCGTAGCAGGGCAGCCCATTAACCACTCTGGCACGTTGACTTAGCTGGGAGCTCGTGAACTGTGAACTCTCGAGGCCAGAACTCCATCCTTGACCACATCGTGCACTTGTCTCAGCCGCAGGTACCCTGGGACTAGGTCTTCTTTCCCCTCTTTTCGGACGCCTGCAGGAGAGAAGAGGAGCTTTGTTGTGGGCGAGACCAGCGGGGCGGCGTTTTGGCTTTTCGAAGTGGAACCTGTGAGAGGGACAGCAACTACCCCGTAGGTACGGAGTGCTGCAGTAGTGAACTTGTGAAGGACGAGAAGCAACCTTGGGAACAACTTATGCAAAGTACACAATGAGGTTGAATGAGCACACAGGCATGTACCTACCACTCCCGCGCGCCACCACTCTTGTTCTTGAGAGATAGAGACGAGAGATGTGGCGGCGCAATCTGTTCTGGGGGTGATGTGCGCTTACATGCGGAACAGCCATCGTGACGCCGAGGGTGACTCTCGTCCCCTACGAGGCAAGACATGTGGAGCGGTATCATGAGTGGATGAGTGATCCGGTCAGCCCAGTAGCCCGCAAATAAGTGCACTTACGTTGAAGTCATCCAGTGATGATACAGATTCATGGCACAGACGGGATGAACAGAGGACTGACTGTGTGATTCCTATGCAACAGGATATTCAGGAAGCCACGGCCTCGGAGCCGCTCACGTTGGAAGAGGAGTACGAGAACCAGCAGTCGTGGCGCACCTCTCACGACAAACTCACCTTCATCATCTGCCAGCCTCTCGGCTCGTCGTCGACGACGGCGTCTACCGAGGCCGTGCAGGCGGGTGAGGTTGATGCTTCGGAGAGGATGATTGGTGACATCAACTTCTTCATCTATCCCTACGACGACGATGAAGATGAAGAAGGCCAGGCTGGTGCGGCAAACGAGGGCTTGTACGTCGGCGAGGTGGACGTCATGGTGGCGTCCAAGGAGCACCGCGGCAAGGGCATCGGCCACGCCGCCGTGACGACGCTGTTGACGTACGTTCACCGGAATCAGGCGCGCATCTTCGAGGAGTATGTCCGGGGTGAGGAGGGTGACCAAGAGACGACGACCAAGAGGGCGGCGCAGCTCAAGGGCTTGATGGTGAAGATTAAGGAGGGCAATGCCGCGAGCATCGCGCTGTTTCGGCGGTTGGGCTTCGTGCAGAAGGGGGAGGTGAATTACTTTGGCGAGATTCAGATGGTTCTTGGGGACTTGAATGAGTTTGTGACGTCTTCTGCTGGTGTGAAGGCTGCGGATGAGTATCGTGAGGTCTCGTATTCTAGATAAGGGGTTTTGATGTCCGAGGAATATAACCCGGCGCCTGTCTACAGTCATTGTGTGTCTAGTCTTGTCCCTTTCTCGTGTCTTCTAAAGTTGCGTCTCGAATCCTCCGGACAGAGGCTATCCTCGGGGTATGCCCAAGCTGGTTCCTTCTTTTATACTTTCCAGATCTCTGTTCCACGCTTAAGCGATGGTTTCATGAAGCATCGCCATATTTTGAACGGTATTCGTTCAACATCCCCATAGTGACGTTCGAGCCGCCGCACACAATAAGCACAATGTTCTGCTTCGCCCACTCATCATCCGACATACCCGCACCGAAATGCTTCCTGAGCGCGCCATTATAGGCCGTCGCAATCGTCGCACCACAGGCAACCTCAACCACCAGCTGCGCATCATCCACAAAGCGCACACACGCCATCGCCGCCTCGGCATCGGTAACCGTCACGCTCTGGAACCCGGGCGTGTCCCTCGCGACCTCCCACGCCCTCGCCGCGACGCGCACCGCTCCCAGCGAGCCCGCAATGGACTTGATCCCCGGCAGCGTGACGTGCTCGCCGGCGAGCACGCTGGCGTTGAGGCTGTCCGCGCCGACCGTCTCCACGGCCATCAGACGCGGTTCCTTCCCTGGCCACTGGTTCTGCGAGACGCCCTGCGCGAGACCGGCTAGTAAACCGCCGCCGCCGACGGAGCACACGATCCCGTTGACCTCAGTTCTGTTCTCAGGCGATGATGATGCCAACTGCGCGACGAGCTCGTCCGCAATGGTCGCCGCGCCGTCCCAGACGTGCGGGTGGTCAAAGGGGGGCACGTACACGCCCGCCGGGTCGTTGGCGAGCATCACCTCGCGGAGGTGGGCGTCCGCCTCGGCCCAGTTTGCGCCGATCTGGCGGACGTCGGCACCGAGCAGGCGCAGCTTGGAGATCATGAGCGGGGAGGTGGTCATGGGCACGACGATGGTGGCCTTGCGGTTGAGGGCGATGGCCGAGGTCGCGCAGGCAAGGCCGGCGTTGCCGCCCGAGGAGCAGTAGAAGTGGGATTCTTGGTTGGGCGGTGCGTCGGCGGCGGCGCGGACCATGAGGTTGCCTATACCGCGGGACTTGAACGAGCCTGAGGGTTGGAGGTTTTCAAGTTTGAGGTAGATGTTGCTGGGTTGGTGTCAGTTGACGGGGTTCGGGTAGGCAGGTGTCATGGGACGACTGACCATCCTGCTGCGCGAGACAGAGTAGCTGATGCAATGCATGGTGTTTGGATCCACGGCTTCTTGGTGTCTGGACTGAGGGAACCCATTGTGGCGGATTTGACGAAGGTGGAGGCTTGGTGATGGAGGCTTTTTCTGTGTAACGGCCTTTTCTGTGTAACGGCCTTTGTGAACTGAATAGAGTTAGCCGGTGAGATTCATTTTCAGAACAGTCTGGCAAAGTCGGAGTAGCAAGTGGGTACACACATAAGTCCCTTTTTCGATGGGCCTTCAACTTTGAGACAATGAAGCTGGGATCTCGACGTCGTTGGTGAGATGGAAAAATGAAGGATAAAAGCCACGGGTACCTGCTCTGAGAAACTTTGTCTCCAAGATTCAGAGCGCTCAAATAATGTATCTTAATCAGCGTCAAGTGCGTAGTAAATAAGCCAATTCGTACGATTCTGGCAACGTTGGAAAATTACCTCAATCATGTGTTGGATTTTATGTATAAGTTGATGACTGCCGGTAAAGAAGCTTCTCGATAACTTGCCAGGGCGCGCTGGCCCGACTAAGAGTGTCATGTTACTGCATTGAGTCAAGTAAAGGGCGCACTTGCGGATGCGGGTGCACGGGGCCGGAACAGGGATCCGACGGCGCACCGGGAGCCCTGCCGATCGGTGGCCGGAAGCCGAACCGGGGTATCTCAACATGCCCGGCCTCCGGACATGACGACCACAACGGAGCCGCCCTCCAGGCCGTCCTCTTGGGAATCATCTAATGCTTGGTACGCAAGTCCAAGAAATATCGTCGCCAAGTGCGTTCTAAAAAGGGTATTTTGCCTTGCTGAAATAGCACCAGCTGTGTCTGAGGAGAGGCAGTGGAAAGAGACGGCAGGATGGAAGTGATTTTGGGGAGCCTTAAAACCCCCAACGCTGTGAAATTAAGAAAATTTAGTTAGAGTCTCGTGAATATCGAAATAGAGTTAAGCTCCCTCGTCATCATGATCATGAAGCCAGATTTCTTGTCGGGATTGATAATCTGAGAGGATGCAGCATTGACTAATTATATTGTTCGGCCTCGTTCTGCCTAGTTCTTTCCCGAGATCCGTCATGCCTAATACCTAGGTACTTACCTGAGTACACAGAAGGATGCCTTCATCTACCCCCTCGAGTCCATTCCTGTCACCAACCAGCAGGCGCCTCTCTAGGTCGGGAGGTCAGGTCAAACTGGGATGGGTGGTGGAGTGGTTCAAGGTCAACAATCATCAATTACGCCCACAGCCTACTCGACGACAGGCTCCGAGTTCGATTCCCAGCACGAGCACCAAGAGATGTAGCCCCAGTTCAGCACCGGGGGGTGAACTCTTTTTTGACACTCTAGAATCTCATTACTTGGGAATCTTACAAGCTCTGGAATGTGAAAATCCGCTTCATTATTTGACAACAATCCATCTTGCAGGACTTACTTCCTCATCTGGTGATAGTTTACCCATACGGAACTGCCTCGTACCCAAATATCTCTGCAGAAATTGTTGACGTTGATTTTATTGCCCACCAAGAACGTACTCAAGGGAGCTCTTCCCGGGCATTCTAAAAGGTACGCCTTCCCTCTTCATTCTCTGCGCAGTTGAAGATCCCTCTTTCCTTCCTCCCAGGGCAATACAAAAGGCACCAAGTGCTTATTTCACGAGTCTGTCTTCCAGACCAACACCTCATTGACACCTCAATTATTTCACCAAAAGATCAACCTACCAGAATAGTTCCTCTTCCATCGTCACAAACTTCTTTCCCAAGCAACTCAGCCGACGAGGCATAAGACAATAAGCGAATCGCCGACCAAGGCTGAGAATCAAAGCAACGGGCAGCACACATTACTCAAGACGGATCAGCTTCCAACAATCTTTCTCTTCATTGCTACCTTACAGGCTTTGTTCCTCACAAAGGCACAATTGCAATCTCCAAATCTCTTTCCTCCACCCTTCACTGCCTCAAGTAACCATTATCTCAAAGGAAGGAAGAGTCTTCATAGCTCCCGCCTCTCATTCTGGTTTGTGAATTGAATTTTTCTTACTCTTAATGCTTTGAAGACAACGAGACTTGCCTCTCGGGCACTTCATTCTACAACAAGTTGAAGATTTGATCAAAGCACAATCTAAGGAGGTAAGCATGCTTTGAAATTGGGCTAGCGGGTTGTGAGCTTTACCATTTACTGACTCAAGTAGCTTCGACGGGAAATCCTTCAACTCCCAGTCATTTGCCACGGAAACTTATACAGATATACGCCAACCTATCCCAAGCACTTATTCTCCCGCCGAATTCTGGAATATCTAGTTCAGCTTCAGACACAATCAGTCCCGAGCCTACTATCAGTTTCAACATGCCTCCAGCCAAGGTCTCCCGGGTGGCTAAGAGTTCCCGTGTGGTCAAGAAACCGGCCACTCCAAGCGCACCTCGAAGCAAGACAGCCGAGACAGCGTCTTCGAAGAAGAAACAGAAGTTACGCGCCTCAGCCAAAAAGGCAAAGACTCCCAAGCCAGCTGAGACTACAATCGTCATCGCAGGCCACAAGCGGTCCATTGTCGTTGTCGAAGAAGATAGCAATGACGATGGCACGATCCAACCCAGCAAACGCCGCAGAACGGGCGGCAACACTAACCCTCACGATTACCACACTGTTCGTGAGAGGCCCCCACCGCGTGATTATGGGGCGACCTTTGCGAGGAAGTCGACGGCGCATTTTACTTGGGGCTCTCCTTTGATGGCTCCTCCTCTCCAGTCTCAATCTTCTCGGCCCGATCCGAAGAGCAAGTCCACGATCACTTGCAACAAGGGCAAGGAGGTAGTTCGACCCGGAAGCTGGCAGGCGAGACCCAAATCAGGCCGCTACAGCGGCATCTTATCAAGAACAGCCACCCCGGAGTCGGAGACTGAGCCGCAGCCCAAGAGCCGCACTTGCCCCTTTCTTCGAATCCCCCTCGAGATCAGGGAGGATATCTACAAGTACATCTTGGTCGCCGACGAGCCCATCCGAGTCCACCAGGGTTGGTCCGCAGTCTACCCCCGGAACAGAGTAGGCATCCGCACCGACCTCATCCGAACGTGCCGCCAAGTCAGAAAGGAGGCGCTCAACACCCTCTACGGCGAAAACACATTCCTCTACCTCCTCCGCGACGCCGCAGAACTCCCCGCGCTCAACGCGCAGGGGGAGAACGAGATCGTGGTCCAGCACCCGCTCGCTACCGACAACGACGCCCTCTCCGACTACGAGGCAGACAGCGCGGACGAGTACTCTGACGGAGAAGACGAAGTCACCAACGGACCCTCGTCATCCCTGGCTGATGGTCATACGGCGGCCGACATTGACATCCGCCGCTTCGGCCACAAGTTCCGCAAGCTCATGATCGTCGCCGAGGCCAACCGCGCCAACGCGCCCTACCGCCTCAGCATGGCCAACGCCATCGACGTCTTCCGCGGCCTGCGGCCCATCCGCCCGCGCATCCACACCCTCACCATCGACATCACGCCCCAGCGCGACCCGCGCACGGGTGACGTCTCGTTTCTCGACTTTTTCGAGCGGTCCTCCGAGGTCGTACGCACGCTCCGCGGCTTGCCGTGCCAGTTTATCGAGATTCTCGTCAACACGGGCGTCAGCGTCGGTGGCGGCGGTGATGGTCATGATGATGGGAATGGTAGTGATAACCCAGGAAAACGACAAGGCCAAGAGAAAATCGTCCTCAACATGAAGTACGCAGCCAACATCCGGCGCGCCAAGCGCGGCGAGAATGACCTGTGGCGCGACGACCGGGTCATGCAGTCGTACCGCAGCGCCAAGGCGGGCGAGGCGCAGAAGAAGCTCGACTCGTTGCCGGCTGCGATTCGCAAGATTTGGGAGGCCTCGAATGGGCAGTTCAAGCGCCGCCGTCGGGACGAGGAGTTTGGTGATGATGATGAAGATGATGATTATTGCTATGAGGATTGGGAGGATTCTCTTCTCTTTCAGGATGGTGCTTTTTGATTGCGTGGGTTTGCATTTGGGAAAGGGGTTGTTTGCTTTGGGTTCTTGGGTTTGCTTCGCTTTGCGGTTAGGTGCGTTTCTTCGTCGGCGTACGAGGATCTGGATGCTGGGCTGGGAGAGACGGTAGCATTTGGTCTCTTCTTCGGATTCGCAGATGCATAGGGAGATTTTTACTCCTGCAGCCCCTTTTGGGCAGGGAATTGGTTCATAGAGCACCCCCCCACAGCGTTGAATTTCATCTTTAGACCTTAAGAAATTGGAAGCCATTAACTCAGAATCTCCGCTCCATGATGGAGATGTTTGCATTTTCTTCATAGCTTGAGGTGGGGGTATATCAAATCATAAACCTTTTTATATGCTCTCCTTCACAGCCATTCCCAGCTTTCTCTCTCTCTCTCTGTCTCTCTTTCTCTCTCTCTGTCTCTCTTTCTCTCTTTCTGTCTCTTCCCCCATCATGATGCTGTTGCTGAAGTCGTCGTGATCTTGACCTTTGAAACCTCCAGCGTCTCCGTGTCCACCAAAACCAACTCCTTGGTCTCCGCAAAGGACGGCACGGTGATGAGCCGGACCTGCTGCCCGTCGCCGCCCTCAATGACCTTTGTCGAGAACTCGGGCTGGCAGCCGACGAAGAAGAGATGGGGCGCATTCTTCATGACGAACGGGTCGTCGTCTTGGAAGGGATAGGCCCCTAGAATGACAGCATTTAGCTAAAGGGGGTCACTGTCAAATAGGGGGTGAATGACTTACAAAGTGTGTCAGGCGCAGTCGGCGCACTGCACCGCCACCTACACATGGCCTCCATCATGCCGAGCCGGTCGTCACTGTCGACGTACTTGAAGACGTCGTCGACGTTTTGCCCACCCGTGCCGAGGACCCTCCAGCCGTCGACCTCGCCCTCCCAGGGATTCGTCGTGGTGTCGAGCCAGCCGGGTTCCTTGGCGTCGGGCGCGGCGCAGTAGGGCCGCGAGCGCGGGAACATGGCCGCGTGGATCGGCTGCTGCGGGTAGCTCGCGTTGGCCGGGTCCTGGGGGCCCGGCATGAGGGTGACGGGGAGGGAGGGGAGGAGGTCGGCGAGGAAGTCGTCAAAGAGCTGGCTCGGGAGCGGGTTGTAGGCGCTCGCGTCGTAACCGTACTTTTTGTTGGTGGTTGAGGCTTTGCTGCTGCCGTTGGTTGTGGATGTGGTTGTGGTGGTGTCGGCCGTGGCGGCGGTGATGGTATCGATGGAGTTTCCTGCGATGATGAGGCGGGATATGGTGCTGAGCTCGGATTGGCTTGCTGGGGAGAGAACCTCGCCGAGGAGGTATTCTTGGAGGAGGGAGAGTTCGAGGGCGTAGGAGGCGTCTGTGCCTGAGAAGGAGAGGCCCGAGACGATGGCGATCTTGGAGGAGGGGCGTTTTTGGGACGGTGTGGAGGGGGCGGTGCCGGACATGTCGTGGTCTTCTGAGGGGTCGTTTGCGAGGGTCCAGCGGGTTGGTTGGGGCGCGATGTCGGGGAACTTTACGTCGATGACTTCGAGCTCGCCGTTTGCGTTTTCGGAGCCCATTACCCCAATGATTGTGCCCGTGACGAGGTGGATGGACTTGAGGATGTCGCCGACGAGGCGGATACGGCCCGAGTCGTCTTCGAGCATGATTGTGTCCTTGTCTTCGTCGGAGTAGTAGCGGTCCGTTAAGATGGGAGCAGAGATCCAACGCTGTGTTTTCTTCGTTAGTCCAAGACTTTTGGAAGGTAGGGAGAAGAGAGGTCGTGGGACGTACATCCTTAGAGACGTCTTCCAAGATATTGGGCTTCAACGCCATGTCCATGTAGACCGTCCCCGTCACCCAGCACAGCTCGCCCTGACGGACGTCGAGAACACGGTTCACATGGCGGGCCTCCTCGCCGCCTATGACGGTACCGTCCCATGCCTCGGCTGCGACTGCGTCGACGGCGGGCCGGATGGACGTGAGGCGAAGGAAATAAACGTCGGCATACTGCTGCTGGTATGAGCGGTCTTTGGCGAGGTCAAAGGTGTGAAGGGGTTTGTAGGTTGACGGTGCGCGGACGAGATTTGACGACGATGCAGTTGCGTCGCTGTGGTTAAAGGAAGCTGGTGAGCGAACTTCTTCACGACAAAGATCATATGGAGGGGCAGGGTGAACATACGCTGGCTTTTGGAGAAGCGCGGTGGCTTCTTCGAGGGTCACCATTGTAGTAGACGAGTTGTGTGTTTCTTTCGACACTTGCTGACGGCTGACGTGGTGTTCTTGAGCTGGATAGAGCTTTTGCGTAGTGTCAATGGGCGTGGTGGGTGTGCGAAGCTGGGATGTGAATTGAATGCGCACATCCGACGCGTCGGAGGACTTTGGGCTGGCAAAAAGTCGCGAATTTTGGCGTTAATTGTGGTTGGGAGGGGTTGCTTCCCTGTAAGGCACCTTGGGCCGTGGCTTGCTCCCGCGGGGGAGAGCCCCGCCCCGGTGCTTGGAGCGGCCCGGAGAGACGGTTCAGGGACTGTGCCCTCCGTCCGTCCAGTGGTTCACCTAACCTGAAAGTCAATTGGATGGCGGGGTTCCCTTGCTCTCTACCTAAGGTACTCCCTGTGTGTGTGTGTCATCAGTCGCCCTTCTGGAATGAGAATGAGGGGCACTTTTTTTTCCTTCTTCCCCTGCCATCCCACCGGGCTTTGGTTAACTTGGTTGCTAATCCAATGCGCGGTAAAGTGTTAAGGCACTCGGATTTTGGGCTGCAGTCCTGGCCTTGATCCAGCCCCTCGGTCTCCGTCTTTCCGTAGTATCGCCGGGAGGTCAGGTCATGACGCCTTTAGTTTGTGGGCGGTGTGAATGATGAATCGCCTACTTTTTTGCCCTTGCTCTAAACCTCCCTCTCTTCCTCCCGTCCTTGGGTATTTTACACATTCGCGCGACCAAACCCTTTCTCCTTCAGTTTGAGTTACTTGTTTACACGCTCCTTGCCTAGATTCTCACCCTCGTCAGCACACAAAACTTCACAATGGCTCAGAAATCGCCCACGATCGAGGTGACAAACCTCAGCTACAACTTTCAAGACTCGAGCTCTGGCCTCAAGAACATCTCCCTCTCCGTCCCCTCCCGCTCTCGCACTCTCCTCATCGGCGCCAACGGCGCAGGCAAGACCACCCTCCTCCGTCTACTCGCCGGCAAGCGCCTCGCCCCGCAGGGCGGCATCTCCATCGCGGGCATCGACCCCTTCAAGGACGGCCTAGAGGGCGTCACCTACCTCGGCCTCGAATGGGTCCTCAACCCCATCGTCCGCACCGACATTGGCGTCCTCGAGCTCTTGCGCTCCGTCGGCGGCGACGCCTACCCGGACCGCCGCGACGAGCTCGTCAGCGTCCTCGACATCGACACCGCCTGGCGCATGCACGCCGTCTCGGACGGCGAGCGCCGCCGCGTCCAGCTCGCCATGGGCCTCATCCGGCCCTGGACCATCCTCCTGCTCGACGAGATCACCGTCGACCTCGACGTCCTCAGCCGCGCAGAGTTCCTCGCCTGGCTGCGCCGCGAGACGGAGATCCGCGACTGCACTATTGTGTATGCGACGCACATCCTCGACAACCTCGCCGGCTGGCCCACCCACCTGGTCCACATGCACCTCGGCACCGTCCGCGAGTGGGACACGGCCGACAAGTTCATTGAGGGCCTCGACGGCTCCACGGGCAACAGCACCCTCGGCGAGCTGGTCCTCGGCTGGCTGCGCAAGGATCTCAAGGACCGCGGTCCGCGGTCGCAGGCGAGGGTCGCGCCTGAGGGTAAGACGTACGCGACTGGCGGCGTTGGAGGCTACGGTGATGAGTCTGACAAGCTGAAATAAGCTTGTTAGGGTTTGGACGGAAGGTTGGAGCAGCGAGAGGGGTTCGGCTGGTGATTGGCGTGATTCAACAATTTGGGTTTCGAATTTCTGTCTGCATTTCGCTAGAGAGAACGGCGTCTACGGCACTCAACTGCATCAGGGACGGCGTTGATGCGTTTTTGTTTTTGGCTTTCAACATTGTGATGCAGCGACCAAGGGGGTCGATTACCGCATCGGTGTGTCTTTCAACTTGAACCATGGCATACAGAGAAAGGCCGGGAGGTTGTGGTACAGACGAAACGAGACGAGGGGACAATAAGAGGGGGCACTCTCAACCGGCATTGCTCGGTGACGGCGTTCGGTCATGTAGCAGACCTCTTCAACAAGGGGGCGGGCACAGTCCTCATGGGCTTATTTTCTTTTAGGATTTCCACGGCTTTAGAGATACCCTATGTCTTCAACCGAAAAAGGGAGGCGTGACATTTGGAAAGGAGGATCAGCTGTCGACTCAACTAGACAGATATGAACAAGTCATGCAATAGAATGTCGGAAAGACATCTACTTGAAAGCTGCGCTTCTCCGAAAAAGGGGGGTATCATATATGCATGCGTCCCGAGCGTGTCACTGGCGCAATATCTGCCAGGCATGAGCCGAGTCGTGCTATGGAAACTTGGTGTCTCTATGTAGCACTCTTAGAGCTCATGAGGACCTTCATCGTATTCTTCATCAACGACGGGATACCGCCCAACCCCTTACCCTCCAATGCCCGCAGCACAATGATCCTGTACTCGGACCAAGTGATGCGCAACCCTCTTGCGTCTGCCAACCTTGCCAAACTGTTTGACGTCACCGGCCCCGCGTGTCGTGTGGAGATGGCGTCCTCGTTCGCAGCCAGCTCACGATCCTCCAGCTCGCGGATACACTCAATGGCCTGCAAGCTCAACAGCGGCGAGTAGGAGAACCCAAACAGCGTCGGGAGCGCAAGGTCCATGCCCAGGTCTTCGACATATCTGCGCAGCCGCAGTGTGACGGGGCCCGCGCTAAGGCAACCGAGAGCGTTCTTATCGCCATCGTTGAAAGCCTTGCCGCGCCAGAGACAGTTGCAAATGTCCATGAGATACCCATTGAAATGGTTCACGTAGCTCGGCGCATACGTTGTCGGCTGCCGCCTGGACATGGCCATCTCGAAGCCCTTCTTGTAAATGGCGAGGACGGTACACAGGCGCGACACGTTTGCCAGAGACTGGCTGAAGAATAGGAGGTAGATGAGCTGGGCCGGCGGATTGGCAATGCGGAGGAGAGGTTGGAGCGTAGGATCAGAGATGCTGGCGGCAGCCTGCTCATATAGGTCGAGGACGCCGCCGTGAACAGCGGCGCTTGGTGAGGCTTGAACAACGTTGAGGGCGATGATGCTTGCGTGTTCCATAACTGCGAAAAAGGCACTGACGGGGGCACCTTTGGGTATTTGGTCGAGTGAGTTGAGAACAAAAGTCCAACGGCGGAGGAGATTTTGGTAGAGTTTGAGCAATGCCAGCTGTGACTCGGCCGTTGGAGGAAGGCACTTCTCTAGTGGCTTCAGGATTACATTGTACAGCTCTGTTACACAGTCAGCAAGTGGATGAGAAAAGCGAGGTTGGAAAGCTTGCCATCAAAAGCAACGAGAGGCGCGTACTGGAGAATGCCGAGGATAGAATCTCGAGCATCCACGCCGTTCCATGTCGGAAATAATTTTGTCAAAAAATGCAAGACGACGGGTGGAGTTTCCTACACAGTCAGCGAGACTCAACCGAGGCCGGTTGGCACACTTACTTTGACGCGAGCCACGTATTCCTCCAGCATTTCCATCGTCTCCGCAAACGACTTGTCATCGGCATTACCGTTGAGCACGTCTTCGAGCACGGCATCGATCCAATGTACCACGCGCTTCGAAGCAGCATCATCCTTTTTCAGGGCGACAAATTTCTGCAAAAGAGGGTCCGCTAGCACAGCCGCAAGCTGGTTCGGTAGCTCAATCTTCTCGACTGTCTGAGCAAGACGATCGGCGTTGTCAATCTCTTCCAAAGTAACGGAAGTCTTTTGTACTAGTCAGCCACGCGTATCATTATCTGGCTGTGTCTCCTCCAAACACTTACCTCTGTGGCTTCTGAAGTATAAACAGGAGGGAGATATGACGACTTTTTGCCGCGGACCCGTAAAGCCTGATGATTGACGCTGAAGCCGTTCTGAGGTTGACCGGCTGCTTCAGCAGTCCGTTGAGAATGGTCTCGTTGGATCTGATTCAACCTTTCGCGCCATTCCACGTCGGGGTGCTACCAAATCAGTACGAGTATCTCCTGGATGTCGGGGCACATCTCACCTTGAATGCCAAAGCCCTGCCCCTCAAGGCATCGCTGACAATGATCTCAGGGTAGTAGTCTTTGAAAACCCGAAGGAGCCCTGTCAATGCTGGGTCATTTCCTGTTTGTCTGGAGAGGTTGAGGCTGAGATGTGTCATTAGCGCCGAGAACCATCTGCGAGTGCAGAGGGACCAACTTACACAGCTTGGATCCTAAAAGGCCGGACGTGTTTTCTACGTGTGATCAAGGCGAGCAGATGGCAAAGCTGCGGTCTGGAGTCGTGTTAGCCCCTTTTCTGTTCGCAACAGAGGAAAAGTCCGCACCGAATGGCTGCCGTATCTAGCAAGTTGAACAAAACAGCGTAGGCTTGCGACAAGATGGCAGGTTTCTCGATGACATGGTATGCCATGATTAGCCATTTCAGGATGTTCGACTGCAGGACTAGGGAAGGCTTCAGTTCCCCATGGCCCAGGCATCCCACAACTCTAAGAACGACATCACTGGATAGCCGAGTGGCGGGGTAAAGGTTCTTGAGTATCGTGTTCAAGCTTGCCTGATCCAACAAATTTGGCCTCGTGAGCAGGTCAATGAGTTCGCTCAAAGGCTCGGGAAGAAGGCCATTTTCAAAGGCGTATGACGCGACCTTTTCAACAGTAGGCTTGATACTGGTCGCCCGTCGTTTCGCAGGCAATTTGGAAGCTGTAATAAATTTGAGTCAATACACAAACTGCATATGTCGCGAGATGATTTGCTCACCCTCCACAACATCGCCAATCAGGAGGTCAACGTCAAGGTCAATATCTATGTTCATAGACGTATCGTTGGTGGGCGAAGCCATTCTACCAAGTACGTCGGTGCCTTGAAATTGCGACACTTTTTTTGTGCCGGATTTCCAATGGATGAATACAGTATGGCGACATTAGATGAGGCAGGCGGGTCAAGCGTCGTCAAGTTGCAGCATGGGTGACAGGCCCGAGCTGTCCAGATTCAAGAACGGTGAGTGAGAGTGGCGGACGCGTCGCGGGGTGAAGATCAAGGTGAGCGCGTCCAGACCGGGAAAACTGCACCGTGCGTGCACTCGGACCTTGTCACTTTTATGGGTCCATTCCCCTATTGGCTGCATAGAGCCGGTATGGGTCCGTTCTTCGGCGTCCAGCGTCCGGGGTCACTGGCCGGAGCGAGCTCCATCCTCAGCAATTCGCTAGAACAGATGCAGGCCCAGAGCCGGAGCAGCAGCAGCAAATGCGTGATCCTATTCTGGCGTCTGTCTTCGTACAACGGTGCTCCGTACAAGGTGTCGGATTCGATGTGTGGGGGGGGGGGGGGGCTTTCGGTCAGCAGTGTCCGTAAGGAGCGTGATTGTACGCGAGACAGGGAGGCATCAGCAGCAGCACGCCTCGGTGAAGGGTTGGGCGAGGCCGGGCGAGGCCAGGCGAGCCCCTGTGTTGTTGCACCGCTGTCTGTAGGTCTTTCGGGTAAATGACGAGCCTGCAGAGAAGGCACGCCATGACCTGAGAATCTGACCACCGTTGAATCTGCCTGCGTGTTGATTAATGGATATCTGCTCCGGTACGAGTACGGCCTTTTGTTGATTTGGACCCCAAAATTTCGTCTCCAGTGATCTTGTGGGCGGGTAACAGCAAATGGACAGGCCTGAGCAATTGCAAAAGACGCTCACCGGTCTGGGAGTAATCCAATTGCTGGCCATTGACGTTGTGGCAAACCTTCCGGACCGTAAGCGGCGCATATGCCGTCTTGGCTGCCATGGCTGCCGCTCGTTTGGTCTCTGGGGTCCATAGCGGGGGGACTGATGTGAGATATGAGGTGCAGTCATCAAAGAGTCGAGAGTTGCGGGCTTGCAGCAGGTTCATGGAAAAAGATGACGAGGACGATTCGGCTCAGGTTCGAATGATGTCGTTTCTACCTGGCCTGCTCCTGACTTTTCACATCGCGGCTACGGGGTTCGGGTAGGAGCTGTCGACAAGAGGCAGGTACAACATGCACGGCAATGGCAAAAGGGAAGGAAGAGGAAGACTCATGGTCTTGTTTGGGGTTACACAAGGCAACTTGAGAGTATCATTTGCTGCAACCGCGGGCCGCAACTGGTTACTAGGAGTGAGGAGTCAGGAGAGAGAGGCATTGCCCCCAGTAAGGTAGGAAGATATTAAAGTGGACTTGCTTACACAGTAGGGCGCATGTATGGCAGGGTACCTCGACATGGCTTTCCGTCTTTTGGCATGGAGACGAAAGACTCTGTTCTTTTCATGAGGGAAAGTCCGAAGAGAACGTGAGATAGTAATGCGGCGAAGAAGTAAAAGTCCTGTGGCCAAGGCACTCTGGGTTATGTACCTTACGAAAAGCTAAGGTACGACAACGGCACGAATAGACGTACCTCTCGACCGATGACATCCGTTAATTAGGTACCGTACGTGCGTACGTTTCCGTACCGCATACCCGTTCCAGAGACGCCCGTGCTCACCGTTGTATACCGCCATCCCGACGCTCCGTCCCGCCAAGTTCCTGCGTAACCTCTGACCTCGCGCCTACTACCCACGGCTACCTTAGTTGCTTACCTTGCCTTCGCCAACGTCTCTCACCGTAACACCAACACTGCTTACCTTGCCTTACCTTGGACAACTGCTGCGTAAGGTACCTTGGCTAGGTAAGGTAGCTGCCTCTCAATGACAGGGTTGCTTCGAAACAACCTGCAACCTCCAACAGTCGCATCCTGCAGACATACAACTGGCTCCAACATTGCCCTCATCTGGCAAAGCTCGCTGACCGCTGACGACCGAGGCGTCAGAAGCGCCTCATCCCTAACATAATTTACGCAGTAGTGCCCTCTTTTACCTGTTGTTCCACAAACCGGCTACCCAAATACCTCGCAAGAATCCTTCTGTTCTCTGGCCCCGTCACATCCTTCTCTGAAGTCCAGTGCTTCTTACAAACCTCCACCTTGGTGCGCGAGGTCATTCCCGCCTCCACTTCTGACCGCATGTTTTGTCCAAGACCACGGTGACCGAGGTGTCGATTCAGGTCTCATGACTCCTCGCTGCACTTTGGTCTGGTCACTGACATGGTTCCAGGTCCGCATCGACACTGCCTACAGACTGCCAACCTCAGGACAGGCAGATCGTGTCCAGGCCTTTTACAATTCTTCCAGGTTCTCGCGCTCCATGTTACGTCTCTCCCTCGTTTGACCAAATCATCCGAGCGACGACTCTGCTCGCCATGTGTCTTTCGGATTTCTGGCTCTGTGCCTCACATATCATTATCAGTCGCGGCCCGATGTCTCCACAGCCGAGAGAGGACCGAATGAACCTGGGCATGGGCATCTCCCCTGTTTGTGCCGCCTTTTCCTCGTCCATTTTCGTCGGTAGGATTCTCCCGGTAAACCCTATTTCACACACCCCGACAAGCACACAAACCCCCCCCCCCCAAAGCTGGCCCTGCTAGAACCACGCAAGTCTCCTATATTTCCCTGGACCTTCTACTTTCAGCGGGCCTGTCCAGGGCAATTGTTGGTTGGGAGCTCCAAAACCGTGGCCACGGATGGCAGGCGACGATAGCAAGCCGCAAGCGGGCTTCCACTAGCAGCGGCGACTCGACCTGGACGAATGATCGAGGCAGACCGCATACACCGATAGCTAATATTGTTCCATCTTGACTTCTCTCCTTGGCTGACCGGACCACCTTCACCCACTGCCGTGGGGGCTTTTGCGACCTTCTATGACAGCGTAGTGTGCCTTGAGGTCCAATCTATCGCTGTCCTGGGCTTGGCTCTGTGTCACCTTTCGGCCGTCATGTGTAGTGGCGTCTGCTTACCGCAGTGCCCATCTCACCTCACCTTACGGGATACTTTACCTCGAGGTGGTCTCTGTACGCCGCGCGCCGCACGCCGCATGCCGGACGCCAATTTCGTCTGCAGCAACGTTGTGTAACCTTCTCTAATAACCCTCATGTTGCTAAGTGGCACTTGCAAGGCTCGGTTGGTGGTCAGCACATCGAGGGAAAAGATCCGTCCGCCAACGCTCCGTTATCCCCCTCCCATCCATGATCCAAGAGCAACTTCACCCAGAATACCTAGTAAGCTAAGAGTGACGGACGTAGTACCGCTCCGTACCGCGCCGGTTACATTGGATCCATCCGTCCATTCATCCTTCCCTCCCTCCCACCATTCCTCATTCCATGGGTACACACACACGTACGCACGCGTGCACACACACTCTCTCGGGGTCTCTCTTTCGCACACCTCTATCCGTACAACCAACTTGGTTATTGCATCAGTCAGACGAGTGTCCCCCAGACCAGGAACCACAGAGCCCTTGATTTGGTAACCTGCTACAAAGACCCACCACCCACGGTGAGAAAGCGTGAAGGCCCCTCGACCTCAACCGCTGGTCGTCTTTTCACCTCGTGTCCTACCTTGCCTTACTGGTTCTCACATACCCATTCTTCTCAGAAGTCAAGTTATGCATCCGCTGATGATGCCTCCATGCATATCCTCTTTCGAGACTTCCCCCTCCATGTTGCCCATCTGTCCCCATCTTTGTAGGAAATCCGGCTGACTGGCTGTGCTGTGCTGTCCCTTCGGTCTTGTTGTGCCCTCGGCCGGTCGCCTCTGCTGCACACCCCACTCTCTCAACTGCTGCCCTCATGCACTTCCTCCCACACCTATCAAGTTAAAGGTCTCTGTCGAGTCTATCGCCCTCTTAGACGCGGCCCTGCTCCCAGTCCTTCGAGGTATGTGTAACCAATCCTCACGTTTGTAAATATGTGTCTTCTAACATTTAGTCTGGTTATTCCCTCAAGACTTGCTCGCTCAGGTGCCAGGTGCTAGGTGCCATCAAGTTGATTGACGTTTACTCTCCTTGCAAAGGTTGAAAGCCAACAGCAGTCGGCGTTTCGCGACAATATCGAATAGTCGAGGATATACTTCTCAACTTGATCTACTATCGACATTTATCCCGGTCTCTTCTTCTGCTCCAGCAACGCAGAGAACACGCCGAACCATTCCAGCTCACGTCTTCCTGGTCTTGACGTGCCCTAGTGCTTATCGTCTTACATCTGGGCCATCACTGAACTCCTCTCTACCTAACATTGTCTCTTTGACCAGCCAGACACTGGGACAACAGACAACTGCGCTTCTGGGTTGGCTCATCATCAATAGCCGCAGCTGTCGTGCGCTGGCTCGTAACATTGTGGCAGAGTGGACCTGGCTACGGAACGAGCAGCAAACGAATCGTCTCATGCCGTTCGCATGGAATTCCTCTTACACGGGCCTAGTAAGTCCAGAAGCCTTCGCTTCCTGCCTGACGCTTACTCACATTACACGGCGCTAATTTGTGTAACCACGCGCTGACTTGAGATAGGGATGAGCTGAAGAGACCGCGCTTGACTATCTCCGCCATGAGGTATTCTCCGGAAATGCAGATCGATCACCATGTCACGTCCAAGAAAAGCCCAAAGTCTACACAAGCTACCCCAACCATGTTACTATGGGACCGACAAGAATGTATCCCCTTGAGAAGAATCCTATCGGAAGACGACATAATCGTCCTGCTCACGCCTGTTGTTGTTCCTCACAACAGATTTGCAGACAACGACAAGGATCCCTTCGAACCGTTGGGCCGTGCCTTTGCTTCGCGGCACTCATTGGTCCGCCATGTTCCATACACGAAAAGAGGCGGCATCACAAACGTTCACTACGAGTTCATCAAAAGGGCAAAAGCAATCGTCTTTGTCATATCTGGAGCTCATGTAGACGATGATGTCTCGCAAATCGACTTGGCCGATGCCGCACGAACGATGGCAGATGAGCGTCCGCAGATCATAGTAGCCTGCTGCAACCTCCAAGCCCAGAACCTCCACGTCGATCACTTTGCTACGCTTATACAAATCGCAGGCTACTCGCCATCTGAGCTGGAAGCTGCTGCTTCCATCATCTTTGACGACGTTCGTCCACCTACCATCAGCTCAGTTCCCGTACAAAACCTCATCATCGCCCCAAGAGCGTGGGACGTCGAGGTCTGCGGTATCGATATGGGCCCTATCCATCAGTTGTGGACAGAATGCCTTCCACCGAAATTTCACCTTCCGCAGTACATGCTTGTGCTGCTCCTCCAGAGAGATGGCTTCTCCAGGCACTATGTCGTGCGCGAACCAGAAACCAAGCAGATTGTGGGCTTTTGCGCTACGTTTACTACGTATCCAGATGGGGGGCAAGAAAACCTACTCGGCTCGCTAGCTGTGTTGATTGTCAAGAACTCATATCGCGGAAGGGGAGTTGGATTAACACTACACAACTATGCCCTTAAACAGCTCCAGAGAACTAGGGGCGTCAATAGGCTGCAACTGGGATCAGCCTTTCCACGTCTCTTTTACGGCGTGCCGTCTGACTTCTTCTCAAGAGATTGGTTTTCACGCCGAGGCTGGAATATGGATGGGTCCCAGCCTGGCCAGGGACAGGAGGCCTCAGACTGGCTCCTCAATTTCGAAGACATGCCCGCGAAGAGCTTCTCGTCAGCTGGACTGACTTTCAGGCGATGCGACATGATGGAGTACCACCAGGTTCTAGAAATCGTCAGTCGAGACGTGGCTCGCAAAGATAACATGGGATGGTACGACCAATATTACAACCTGGACGGCACGCCTCACATCGAGGATGTCGTCCTTGGTCTGGAAGGCGACACTATCGTAGCTGTTGCTTTGACCTACATTCCCAATTCTGGGAGTCCAGCCGGGAACGACCTGCCATGGGCGAAATCCATTGGCGCGGATGCTGGAGGAGTAACCTGCATTTGCATCATAGGTTTGTGGTCACGCTGAAGATCTCTAGTGGCTTTTCCTGCTGACTCTTATTCAGATGACCATCCGGAAATGGTGAACAGCCGGGACTCCGTGATGATAAGGCTGCTCGATACGTGTGTCAAGTTGTTGGCTGAGCAAGGCATGCAACAACTATTTATCGACGGCATGAAGGGAGGGGACGACGGTTTCCAATCTCTGGGTGAGTGCGATGATTTTGCGAGAAAGCCACCTACTAATTTGGCCGAAAAGGTTTCCGACAATGGGCGCGATACAAGGAAGTTTGGCGAAAGGTTTAAGTTACGTTTGTGAATCCCGTCGGCCAGCAAACGCTACATCAAGATGCGGTATCCCGCGAAGCTTTACAGGAGATACTCAGCAATAATTGAAATCCTCGGCGCAAGACTGCAGACCGGAGGATTTCAAATCCCGAACCTATTTTTCCAACTTCCATGATGGAACCAGTCCATTGTCGACTCAAGCTGCTGAAACATTGGCAGCTCGTATTGGCTCGTATTGAAGGAGGCCTGGATAGTCAAATCGGCACCAGCCACTAATGCGTATCAAGATCGAGGACTGCTGCTCGAGATACTGCGTTTTAATACCAGCAAGATTCCTGAACTCAGCAACGGCGTGACTTTTGCTTCAATGCGACTTCAGACAGAGGACTTTGCGATAGTCAGCAGAGTGCCCAATCGCGCCTCTTGGCTCACGGATCATGTCTGACACTGGCACATCATGAGCACTCGTGGCACCTATCATGGCCATCCTTTCGGATGTAGATGATCCTTTTTGGCTCTGCTCAAGTCGAAGATTCATTCACCACCCTCCAAAAACCCACCTTCCCCGCGCCACGTTTTGTCCATTGTTACATTGAGATCAAAGACACGCGTGTAGCGCGATCTTCTTTCTGAGTCTTTGATGGGCTACACATGCATGAAGCTTGACGAAAGTACAAGGGTCCAAGAGCACAAGGCACGTCAGACTGGTCAAGCATGTTGAACAGCTAATTGGTCCATTCGCAAGCTATGGCCCTGCTCCGACAATTCCGACGAAGACGTGCCGCCTAGCCTCAGAACTGCCTCTTGACCATTTCAATGTCAACAGAAGCACCGTCTCAGTCAGAGGGCATTCCGAATATCGAACTGAACACGCCGATAAGAGCTCATATCACCGGTTTCGATCAGACGCTTTTAGGGCAGCTTTCAAAGCATAACTCTGATCTTCACATTGTCAACCGCAATGAGTAGGGGACCATTGACGCCCAACCGACGATCGCGAAACATGTCGTTTCCAATGGTGCCAGGCACGTCCCATAGGTAAGCTGCGCCATAGGACCATGGTGTTGGCGCCGTCGATCACGCAGACCGAATACCGGGGAAATTCGTCTGGAATAGATTGACTCTCGAGCACGAAGCCCAACTGAACGAAGAAAGGACTCAATGGTCCGACATATTCCAACACACAGACCCTCCGGTTTCCATTGCATGGCCCCGCGCGCAGGGTTTGCAAAACTGCAGACTCTCCATGCTCCCTTGACTCCCTTCGACTAAGAGCTCAAGGAGGAAGAGAAACTCGGTGGATTATTGACCGGGAGCAGCCGAGCCAAACCGACAACTCCTTTAGCGTCCGGTATCCCGGTCATGTCAGCGGGGTTATCTCCGTTTCACGGCCCAACCAGTGCCTCTGAGTAATATGGCAAGTTGGCAAGTTGGCAAATGGCAACCAACCGACCACCCTGGTTCCCCAGATCCCTGGTCACAGGTACCGTCTTTCTTGGTGTCAGAAATGCACGTTGGATCACACCCAGAAACGGCTTAGTAAATTTGTCTTGAGCAA